GCAAAAGAAAATCGAATCATCTGAATACAATGTTATTAACAATTTGATATTATTTATTTTTTCTCTTAAAAACTATTAATTTTATATTTTGAAAAATCTTATACACTATTGTCAATAACCCCTTATTATAGGGGATTTATTTATTTGGTAAGAAAAAACGGAATATTATATGTGTATTGGAAGAAATTCTCCATTCCAAATAGATAAGTTATTTAAAAAAAATCGTCAAGTTGTCCATAAAAAATGAAGACTAAATAACATAAATAGTAATAAATCTAAAACCAAATAAAACAAAAAAAAGTGTCCGAAAAGTTCCAAAAAAAGGAATGCTCAGTCAAAATAAACTGTTATCCAAAACTGAGACTTTTGAGGAAGAAATTACTTCTTACGCATTTAAATTTTACTATGTAAACAAGTTCTATACAAATTAACAAACAAATTCGTCAACACTATTACTTTATTTCTAAATATAACTTATTTTTTTCCCGTTATCATTGACATTCTAATAGTAGTAAAGAACTCTGTACTTGAACAAAGAACTCTCTAATTGAAGACGTTTAAAAAACATTATACAAAGAAAAAAAATCTAAAATATATTATTCCGTTTTTCCATACGTTTATGTAAATTATAACTCGAATATATTTAGTATAACAATATTGTTTTTCGAATACACGAAAAATTTGGTATACTCAATCACTCACTCATTTATTTTGTTTTTTCTTTTCATTTTCTCTTATCCGTTGATTACGAAGTGCTGTGATTTTCATTCATTCTGTAAAAATAAAAACAAAATGATTTTAGTTAATTGTGTTAAGTATTGTGATTATTAAGTAAGTGTGGGAAAGCCATGCTTTGTCACGAATAGGTCGGCTCGACCGGAGTTATACCAAAGGCTCACAGATAAACCGGCGTTTAGCCGTGTGAGTTTACCTCAGACCCAAACCTTTCTTCCCTCCCCCAACCCTATATAGCCTTCTCACCGAAACCGCTTATCCCCAAAAAGCCGGCAACGCACTAACTCCTCCGGTGTTCCGGGTGTCTATAAGCGGTGCTGATTGCATACCATCAGGTAATTCAGAAAATCTGGTAATTAGTATTCGCCCAGTCCTTCTTTCCCCAATGACTATAGGTAACCTACTGTCCGAAACTCTTAGTCCCAAAAGGCAACTCCCCAGTGTTGCAAGTGCCTATGAGCGGTGCCGATTGCTTACTATCAAGTAATTTAGAACAACAGTTAACTAGTATTCTTAAAAGATTAAGACCAATTGATCAACAACTCTTTAAACCCGAGAGGAGTTACAAACGCGTTGCCGACATTTAAGGATATAAGGATTAGACAATTTATTGCGGATGGGATTTAATCTGTGGTAAACTCACAATGGACCTCAAAGCTGTGGTTCTCACGGAGAACATTTCAGAAAACCCTTATTGGGATTACTTTTTATACATAACATATTAATTAATAAATTCAGTGTAAATTGTGGTTTATTGTATTATTAATTAATGTTAGTAATTCATATTATATTTTATTAAAATTATTTTATTATAATAATCAAATAACTTTTGCATTAGTAAGCGCATATTTACCGCGTGCCTTTCTCTGAAAATTATTCAATCGATTCTTATGAAATTATAAACAGGTAGGTACCTGGTACATATAATTTTAAAAGTTTATCCTCTTACTGTATTTGTTAATATTAAGATTTTTTTATTTCATTAGTGGGCAAACGAGCAGACGGATTACCTGGTGGTTTGTAAAAGGAATCTGTATGTGAAACTGATTTAAAAAGAGTAGCCATGGAGTTTCTTGCTCGTTCTTCTCCATCGGAATCTACACTTTGGAACGAGCAAATAGCTTCACTAAGAGGACTGACCGACAGACTGACACTATTTTTTATTTTAAATTTTGTTTGACGTTCAAAAGTGCCTGTAAAGGTCTAATTGGAATAAATGATTTTTGACTTTTTTTTTGACTTTTGTAAGTAATCAGCGCCGGCCATAGACACTCGTAGTACCAGAGGAGCTAGTACAAATTCGTTGCCGATCTCTTGTAGGTTATTAGCAGTGATCGGAGTAGGTAGATTGAAATGGGGTCATTGATCCGAAACGCATATATTAACATGGACATTCCTCCGGAATAGGTGGATTATTGAAAAAACAACCGGAAATTATGTAGGAATTTTATTCTGCCAGATTGGAATAATATTATTCTTCATATTTTTTTAATGGCAGACAGTCTCGATTTCGCAAAACCCAACGACCAATCAGAACAAAGGATCATGGTTGGTACAATAACCGGTTATCAGAACAATGCGTACTCGGAATTCGATTGTTTTTATAATTCAGCAGATAAATAATTAATAAATTTAGTTTTGATACCTTCCTTTAAATTTTGTATTAAGTCAAAATAATACCACTACCAACATTAACATTAATTGAATCCGTAAATACCGGAATTACTTTCCGGGAAAATGGCTTATCCATGTTATTCTTTCTGTGTGCATTTATGATACAAGTACCAAAAACCAATCTACCTACTTCGATCACTGGTTATTAGGTATTTAGGGATAGATATTCGAGGATTGAGGATTGGGGTGGGAGTAAGAACTGGGCTTCAGGGAACCTCAACCACACAACGTAAGTATTGCTTCACGCCCGTTTCCTGTGTCTTTACCCGGAACAACAATTTGTGGTTCACACAAAGAGTTATTTCGTGCGGGAATCGAACCCGCGATAAGTTGCACGGCAGCTAGTAGCCCAGCCACCGCACCAACCGTGCAGTCGCCAATTTTCAAATGTTGTAGTCGGGGTGGGTCGGTTACGGTGCAAATTTCATGTTACGCGGCATAAACTTTAATAAAACTATACAAAAATTACAATACGATACACAAACTAAACTGTAAAGTCCGCCGTAACATAACTAATATTATGGCGGAATTGGCGCGTATTTTAAAATTCTATGGCGCTGGCGAATAGCGGTCGGGCGTTTATTGGACCGCTTACGACCAGGGCTGAGACGTTCGGAAACGTTATCCGCTATAATGTCTGTAAAAAGCCCAAAAAGTTTGTAACGCACTTGTAACTCTTCGATTTTACTAATGTCCATGGGCGACGCCGAATGCTTACTATTAAGTGATCCGTCAACTACTATACCCAAATATCCCATCAAAAATGTTAGGTAATGGAAGGATACTATTTGCATTATTTCATTTTGTAATAAATCTATACTAATATTATAAAGAGGTAAAATTTTTAAGTTTGTATGTAGGGGTAATCTATTGAACCGCTGGTCGGATTGCCAAAATTCTTTCACTGATAGATAGCTACAATGTTCCCGAGTGGTATCGGCTATAAAACATCACGCTACAATCAAATCGAACCGAGCAGCGAGTGAAACCGCGCGGGAGAAGCTAGTAAAATATAAAATATAAGTTCTTTTCATACCGTTTTCCTAGAAGTCAAGTAATAATATTTACTTATTTTTTATCTACGTGTGTTTGACGTTTTATTGCGTCATATTTACTTAATAAAGTATTACAATAACACACGTAAATACGAAAACATTCAATATTGACTAATATGAACTTTGAACATAATTCGGTAAGGATGAAAATGCAATGAAAAAAGATAGGTAAGCCTGATAGCCAAAAATCAACCTTGAAGATATAAAGATAGAGCATAATTTTAAATGGGTAGACGAAGTAAAGTAATTTTATAAAAGTAAAAAACAAAAATACTCGTAGCTTAGGTATTATTCCAGACTATTCTCTATGAGTCAGAGAGCGTAATAATCTACCCCGACCCAGAGAAGATCAGTAAAAGTCAGATCCTCCCTCTCGATTATTTCATTATTTGATAATAATAAAAAACATAGGTTCTAGACCTATGTCTGTGCCAAACATCATCCAAATCAAATGTGGGAGAGGCTTGCTTCGGCACGAATGGGTCGGCCCGACCGGAGTGATACCACGGCTTAACAGGAAACCGGCATGGAACAACCACAGCGCTGTGTTTCACGGTGTGAGCGAGGTTACTAGAGGCCTAATCATTCCCCTCCCCCAATCCCTCAATTCCCAAAACCGTAATCCCCAAAATGTCGACAACGCACTCGTTACTCCTCCTTTGTTTTATTGCTTACCATCAGGTAATTGAATGGCTCGTATGCATCCCTATCACATAAAAAAACCGTACTTTTAACGTTAAAGAATAACAAACATCCATCTATACATATTACTATGTACTTACAATCTTTCGCGTTTATAATATTAATAGCATTAGTAATAAATTCTATTTATATAATGCCTATAAATATACTTAGAATTATATCCGATACAATACAATGGTACAATTATGACGCTAGATTTCTGAATAATAGTACCTACCTATTGAATTACTACAATTGAAAATCCCAAGCGTAGGCTTTTTTTGTCAGGGGAAAATCATCAAATGAGTTCTCCGAGATGCGAGAGGAAGTGTCAGACTCTTAGTGACTAAAAACCCCCTCATTCCTTCTCCTGCTTTAGGCCGAAGTCACGGTGCGTCATTGCGCTTACCCCTCCACCCCGGCTGAACATCAGCCCTATAGGGCCCCGTCTGTGGGGGTCTGTTGGATATTTGAGGCGCGCGCGGAACGCTACGCGCCGTACGCTCGGGTCTGGTTCTGGACCCTTACTCGCCGTCCGTAGACCCGCGCTTAGAGTCTATGTCCCTACTTCTTCCATTTTTATTAAGTAATAGGTCGGCAGACTAGCAGCTTCTACTAGCTAGTACTACTTGATGGTATAGAACCGACGCCGCCCATCAACGCCAAGGGTGTTAGGATTGTATTGCTTTTGACGATAAGGAATTTGGAAGATTTAGGTATTGGAGAGGGGATAAAGGATTGCTATGTTATATTATATTCAGCCTAATTTTTTTTACATATAATTTGACGTGTAACAGTTCCTTTTAATGGCCTATTTGCAAAAATAATTTCATTGTTTCAATGTATATACTTTACCTAACGTATTTTAGGCGCAGATCTGTCGTTGCAGTGTTTGTTTCGACGTAACGTTGCGCCGCGTTTTATTTGTTCCATTAGCGAAGTGTGGCAGATCCGAGGGTCGGGCTGGAAATAAAATAAACAAATTAATATTATCGTACATCAATCATCAATTTCTAGATTGATTAGGCCTCTATTTACTTTTATCGGATTCGACGTGAAACAACCACAGCGTTGTGTGTCGCGGTGTGAGTGAGGTTACCGGAGGCCTAATCCTTCCCCTACCCGAATCCTAAAATCTCCAAATCCATAATCCCCGAAAGGTCGAAACTCCTCCGTTGTTGAGGGTGTCCATGGAATGCTGATGGCTTACCATCAGGTAATCCATATGCTCGGTTACCGACCAATCACGTAAATAACAAAAAATACTATTTGGAAATTTAATTATATATTTATAATATAAATTCATTTTTATTAAGAGATAGTATAAAAAGGCTATATACCTAACTTAAGAAACGTGAATGAGGAAAAAGCATGAATATGTATTATTATCAATTTATTTTCCTGTAAAAATAACTGTTAAATAGGCCATGAACTTTGGAACCTCGGAATAGGGGGCATAGCGACGGATATTATAAGTATTTCCCCTGATTTTTATAGTGTAATTATATCGTAAAATCAATATTCTACAAATAATAATAATTCTTTGATTCAGGGGTAGAACTCGAAGTGCCTTAGAGACCAGCTACGTAATAGCTATTTTTGGTAAACAAAACATCATTAGGACTTCGATTATCTAAAGTAAGAAATACCATACTGAGCTCTATAACTCAAATCGCTGATGTTGGTCAGAAAGCCTTAGAACTGGGCTGGACATGTTCGCCGCATGTGAGACGAGCGGACAAAATTATCTACTTAGTGGATCCGAAACAACGTTAACCTGGCGGGACGACCTTGACAGCTTCGACAAGGAGTGAAGGCAGAAAGCTTTGAGAAGAGGCGTGGAAAAAGGGCCTATGCCTTACAGTGGGACGACAACGGCGAATACCCTCAATATATAATAATATTAATTACAAAACACCGGCATGAAGCAAAACTTACAGTAAACTTACAGTTTCAGTGGGGTTACCGGAGGCCTAACCCCCCCCCCCCTCCGCCATCCTCAATGTTCGAATTCCCTATCCCTTTTTTGTGAGGGGAAAATCATCAAATGAATTCTCCCGTCGGGATGTAGTCTCAGGCTCTTACTGATTAAAAACCCCCCCGTTCCTTCTCTTGCTCTAGGACGAGGCTGCGGTGCCTCATTGCGCTTGGCACCCAATAGGGCCCCGTCTGTGATGATCTATTGGCTCATGCTTAAATCCCTAATGACACACAAGACGCTGGCAAGTAACTCCTTTGGTATGACGAGTGTCCTTGGCCGACCTATCACATAAAATACATGTAGGTATGATGATATATTCCCGTACCTGCGCGTGCGCATTGATCATGTCCCGCACGGTCTTGGCGCGCGTGTTGTCGAGTTGCCTGCGTTGTTGCTGTATGGTTGCCGACAACTTGTCCAGGAACGCGGGCTGCACCGGAATTGTACCTGACGAAATATACATACAAATTAATATTAATTTAGGTGAAATTAGGTTTACCACTTAAATAATTGATATATTTAAAAATTAAGTATGGGCAATCATAGAAGTTATTTAAAAAAAAAACCTTTCCCTACACTAGGATTTTCTCCTGTATCGTGGTTGCGGTTACAAACATACAATATCACAAACACATCACACTCAGACCCGAAACAACAATTTGTGGATCACACAAAGAGTTGTTCCGTGCGGGAATCGAACCCGCGACACGTTGCACGGCAGTCAGTTGCCCAGCCACCGCACCAAGCGTGAAGTCACAGAGTTAAGGACGATTGTTCAGTTCAAACTCAAAGTCAAGTCAAAGTCAAAATAATTTATTCCAACTAAACCTGAAATATGTACTTTTGAAACGTCAAAATAGAATAGTAGTCTGTCAGTCTGTTTGTCAGTGAAGCTAGGTAGTTAATATGGCAATATTGTTTGAATGGTAACAAATAAAGGTATTTTTAAAAGTCACATTCAATTTGTAAATATTTCATATAAACATTGTGTTGAATATACCCTTACATGTATGCTTTTCTCAATGTAATACCGTTGAACAAGCAATTTTTGTGTACACACATTTATAAAATTACTAGCGATCGCCCGCGGCTGCGCCCGGATAGATGTCGATTTTCCACTTTTTTTAATTTTCTCTACGTATAAACCTTCCCTGGACTTCCACAAATAATTCAAGAGTAAAATGAAGCCAAATCGGTAGAGGTGTTGTTGAGTAATAACATTACAAAGAAAAGTGGCATTGATTTTTTTTTTTTTTTTTTACTTGCTACAAACTAGTGCTTGACTGCGGTCCCACCTGATGGTAAGCAGTGATGCAATCGATTTATATATATTTGACAAAATGATTTGGCTGCAATTATTTTAATAATAACTATCGTGAGACATACTAAATTAACTAAAACTCGCGGGTTACTCACGTGTAAATGTTGAGAAAAGCTCTACTAGTTTCGAACCACAGAGGGGTTCTTCCTCATGAGCAGCGTGAAACGCGAAACTAGTAGAGCTTTTCTCAACATTTACACGTGAGTAACCCGCGAATTTTAGTTAATGATTTTAATGCCAAGCAACCGCCCGCAGGAAAGGGGGGACCTTTCCTGTTAGTGGGTGGATAAAAATGTAATGCTCACCTTTCCCCTTAGCGGGGGTATCAGCAGGAGAGATGGTAGAGATGGCGCGACGCGACGTGCGCGGGGACAGTTGCGGGGCTAACTTAGCGCTCAGGTGGGCGATGAGGCCGCCTTCTGTAACCATACGCCAAATCTGCCTATAGTACAGTCATTGGGTAGTTTTACCTAGAAAGTTTTTCGGCAGTTTTGAAAATTTGAGACATTATAGATTCCGACGTGCTCTCTTTGAATTTTCACCTCGTACCTTTTCCACTCTCGCCGCCATATTGGAGCTTAAACCTCCCGGAATAGTTTCCAGGTAACCACCTCTTTGAGCACCAAATTACTGTAATGCTAGGTCAGTACATTTTCTGATAAGATTATAGTCTAAAATTGGCAGAGGCAGAAGCATCTTCTTAGCTGTCGGTGATCCTAGACTGATGCTTAGTATAGCAAACTTGCTTTTAAGAGAATTTAATATTCCGTTCGGCACGATAGGAATGAGGATTATCCCAACGCTAGCTCAAGGCCGATTAGCGATTACAAACTTATAATTAGAATAACTCCTATTAACCTTTTTTACTTACTTACAACCATTCTCACCCCCCTCTCTGTTTTCATACTCAATCCTTAAACTCTAACCTCAAAATGTCGACAACAACTCATCTGGTGTTACGAGTATCGAAGGGCGACCCCAATTGCTTACCATCAGGTAATCTGCCTGCTAGTTTGCCGATATATCCCAGAAGGTATCATGGGCCATGGTGTCGCAAATATCCATGGGTGGCCCGGATTGCTTACCATCGGGTAATCCGCCAGCTCGTTTGCCGACTTATCCTATATTTAAGTGTGGGAAAGCTATGCTTTGGCATTAATGGGTCGGCTCGACTGGGTGATACCACGGCCTCACAGAAAGCCGTTGTAAAACAGCCATCATTGTTTCGCCATATGGGTTAGGTTACCGGAAACCCAATCCTCCCCTCTCTCCCTATCCCTAAAACCGTAATCCCCAAAAAGCGAGCGCCAATTGCTTGCCATCAGCTAATCCGTCAGCTCGTTTAGGGTCGTTTCTAATAAGAAGCCATGCTTACGTTCAAGATGGTGCCTGTCAGCGCTATGGGATCGCGCGGCGATGTTCCTGCGCAGCGCGAGCGGGCTGAGCGCGTCGTGGCGCGGGTCGTGGCGCGACATACTGTTGAAGCCCGCGATTATCTCCGACGGCTGCGCGTATATCGTGCTCTGCCCGTACTTCTTGTCTTGTTGCCCTTTCAAACCTATTTGTATTGGGGAGAAGGTTCAATTTTAATTATTTCTGGTCATAAAAAAAAAAAAATCGCTGCCCCACAATAGGATTATCTCTTGTGTAGTGAGTGCGTTTACAAATATACAGTTTCATATACACAAGCTACCCAGAGTCACGTTTGTGACTGCTTACTGCGGGAATCGAACCTACGACACGTTGCACGGCAACCAGTTGGCCAACCAACATGCCAATCGAACAGCCAGTAAATTAAAAAAAATCGTAGGAACGTAATCACAATAAGCTTTCCACCTGTGTCATCGATGTGAAGTCAATTTCAGAAATCAAATAATATCCACACACACACACAGTTGTCATCTCACACATATTGAAAGAAAGAAGAAAGAAAGAAAGAAAAACCATTTATTAACGCAAAAGACGCAAAAGCAACAAAACAAACAAGTGAAACTAACTTTTGCTCTAGCTGGGCTTGTCACGGGTTCGATTCACGTCCTAATCCTTTTTTTGTGTGATCTAATAATGTTTTTCCAGGTCTGGATGTGAAGTTAAACGCATCCATAAAACAAGATAATTTAAGTGCTACCAGAAAAAAAATAGAGACTAAGATTTTTGTAAAATAACCATAAAGAAAATATTTGTAAATTAAGCATAGTAAGACTCACCTGTCTGTCCATAATGGCTGGTCTCATTAGAGGCTCTTGGTCCAAAACTGGAGAACGAGTTGTTTTCTCCGTAGCTCGGTGTGGAGGGCGACGACCCGTGGGGCGAGCCACGACTTTCCGCGTATATACCTGCAGATGATATTAATCAATTAATAAACCATTATTAATAACTAGCTTTTGCCTGCGACTCCGTTCGCGTGAAATAGTGACTTTCAGTATTTTTGGTATAAAAACTATCTATGTCCTTACTCAAGTTCCAAACTACGTCTGTACCAAATTTCACAGAAATCGGTTCAGTAGTTTAGGCGTGAAGAAAAGACAGACAGACAGAGTTACTTTCGAATTTCCAATATTAATTTGGATAAAAAACAGATGACATCTTGCCGTCAACTACGACATCTCACGAATTTCATAAAAAAAGACAAGAAAAAGAAAAAAGCAAAACTCACCAGCATTGATCAAATCCGAATTGGAGCTATTCAAGCTGTTCTTCCGAACGTACATTGAATTCTCGACGTAAGCCATAATCTTGTGTCCAGTTTGCCCGTATATGGGGTTCAAGTTGCCTGTGCTGTTTAAGCTCGTTGACGATGAGAAATTGCTCTTTGCCTGTTGGAACGTTGAGAGGGAGGGTGTTGTTGGGGATTGGGGTTGGTTTTGATGGAGTTGTTGAAGGTTGCGACGAACTAAGCCTGGTGACGCAGGCATGTGTTTTAGCTCTGTTAGTTGCTTCACTGTTTCTGCTACGTTGGAGTGAGCTGGAAGAAATTTGATGATGTCAGTTAGTTGGTTGATGTAAAGTATGGACGCGGTCATTTTAGTTTAGTTTAGTCACTAGAAAAAATACCAAATTGTTCTTTCGGATCTGGGTGTGATGTGTATATTTGTAAACGCATCCAATACATTAGCAAAGCATACCTTTTTTTTAAATAAACGTCGCCCCAAACTAGGATTTTCTCCTGTGTCGTGGGTGCGGTAGCAAACATACAATTTCACAAACACAAGACACCCAGACCCGGAACAACAATTTGATTGTTTTGTTTCAAAGAGTTGTTCAGTTGCCCAGCCACCGCACCGGTTTTATGAGTATAAAATTCTTTAACCTTAAGTTAAAAAGGTTAGATTTATGAGTCAATGTTTTTTCATGTCTCACATTTCACTCAATACCAGCTAAATTGTGACCTTCACTGACAGGAAGACATACTCTACTGACCAAAGGCCACCCATTTAATCCACCTCATCGAACGACAATTCGAGACTTTCAATGTTTTTTATTATATAAGACTCATGAAATAACACTTTTCTAAATCTTTACAAGTCAAATAAGTATATCCACAGAGTTCGTGAGAAAACATTTTAGCTAAAAAGTGACATAACATACTAAGAACAAAATGTTTGCATAAGAAGAGTCGATCTTATAGAGCTTTAAATAAGACCTAAAATTAAATAAAAAAGTTAAATCTAGAAGAAATTATATAAAAATAATTTCAAGTGCTTTTAGATTATGCATGCATTAAGTCCCAATCTTGTTATTCAACTAACAGTGCTATTGCTATGGTGATAGAAGTGCTTTTCTCATGTTAGCCAATTTAAAAACTAAAGCTTTTAAACTATTTGAACGAAAATCGTTTTTATTAGCCCACAACAAAAGCACATTTTCCTCTGAGTTATTCTTAACACCAAATGTATAAAATTAATAAATAATAAAATGTATAACAAAAAAAAATAATTTTAAAATTTAATAGAAACTTCTAAAAACTACTGAAGTTAATGCTTGCAAAATTCAACTTAATCTAGATAGAAATAGTGCACAAATTTGAATACAGTCATATTCACCGGTGTCGCCTTCGGGTTGAAGCAGGAAAGCGGGTGGAGGAGGCAGGTTATCGGCGTCATTCGAAGACAGCTGAGAATTTTGTGTGTTCTGTAAACGAAAATAAACTTTAAGTACCTAATTGAGTTTAGGTATATTTTTGTAAACAGCGAATTTTGTTGTCATAATAAATGACTACAAAACCGCTAATTTGCACTCGGTTTTCTGCACACGACCATGGACAGCGGGATTAATTTATATAGGTATTTGGCCTTTTTTGTCAGGGAAAAATCATCGAATGACTTCTTCCTCCTTTGTCTCGCATAGGATCGCTGCATTTTTCGTGCATATTCTTTTGTTATAAGTACCGTTTTACCTTGTTTTCTTGTGTTTTTGGTTTATTTTTATTTACTTGTTTGTTTTGCATCCTATATGCGTCCTAGAAGCGAATAAATACTTTTTTGTTTATTTACGTGTGGGAGAGCCATGCTTCTGCACGAATGAGTCGGCTCGAGTGATGCCAAGGTATCACAGAAAACTGTTGTAAAACAACCACAGCTTTGTGTTTCGCCGTGTGAGTGGAGATAGCGAAGGCCCAATCGTTCTTCCCCTCTCTAATCCCGAAACCTTATTCTGCAAAAGGGCGAGAAGCGACAAGGCTCTTGTACCTCTTCTGGTGTTGCTCTTCTCCCCCAATCCCTACATCTCCAAAACCTTAATCCCCAAAAGGCTCTCCTATGGTTTTTATTATAACTTTCGTGAGACATACCAAATTAAATATTATGTTTTCGGCTTACTCCCGTAATCGTCTGACGAGCGTTTTCGGGTGTCTATGAAATCAATTGCTTACCATCAGGTAATCCGTATGCTCGTTGGCCGTACTATCTAATAAAAAAGACATCATTATTATACTTTATCAAATAAACATACCTGCACATATGGAGGTCGTTGAGGCCTAGATATGGATGATGAGCGTCGAACTGGTGGCGGGGGTTTGCCCAGCGAACTGGAAGAGCCACGACGAGACCATACTGTTGCTGTAAATAAAATAATATAAAAAATTAACATACACACATGACATAGTAACCTTCCAACTGTAGTAGTTCGAGTCACAGTGGAAGAACAAGAAGTGCGCGAACGGCGTTCGCTTGGGGTTTTAACTAACACATTATGTCTTGCTTATATCGGCGGTCTGGCATTTCACGGGTCAATTAATGAAATGTAGAGAAATTGTTCCCAATTTCTCTTCATTTTTTTTGTTTTTCATGAATTGATCCCTTCTAGAAATTCGGAGCAAAATTTATTCTCATTCAAAATTGATGCAATCCCAGTAAGCTCCACAAATATTATATATTTATATTGTTGATGAATAGTGTGAATAACTCCCAATTTTTTCAACGAACGGTTTTATGTTCTGGTCGACTTTTAATAGTATTTTCACAATAAAAACTCTTTTTAAGGAAAACGAAGCTATATAGAGATACATTTCTTTAAAGTACTTAATAATAAAAATGAACTTTATTAATAGGTAAATAAATCCTAAGTCATGTCTAATTTAACAAAAATAAAAGCCTCAAAACGCAAAATTTAATACAAAAATCATGCATATATTAACATGTATTAACTTTACCTTTTACTTTGTATTTTACAATTATCTATGACATTAAAAACATTTTTGTTATGCAGATAAATAATAAAAATAAAATGAATAATAAATGCAGATATTCAAATTGAATGATTACCTAAACATTCCACTAAAAATGTTTGTGGATCCTAATGTTATGCTAATTTATTACATTTAGCAAAATACACTAGAACCTTAAGCCAACTCTTAACCTACCCTCACTCAATAAAATAACGTAACGCTATAGTAGTCTAGAGCGTTCCTCAAAAATAATACACCACATATCATCGTAAGCTTAAGTTCTTACGGCACAAGATCAGCGGAACATAGGCCTCTCTAAATGGCTTCCAGATTGGAAGTGACCTTCATCCAACGGCTTCCTACATCCTGTAACCATCACCAAATCCCACAAAAAGACCAAAATCTCACCAGACATGGACACAGGCCTTCGTTTAGGCACAGCCGGTTTCTTCCCGATAGTCGCAAAGGCTGGGGTTTCACACGCTTCGTCTAAAGACCTGACGGCTTCTTCCAAACTTCCGAGGGAGATTGAGAAACTCTCTCTTGCAGCGGCCACTGATGACTCACTCTCTCTTCGAAGAGTTACGATCTCCGAGTCGACTGGTATAAGCAAATGAGCATGCAAAGCGGATTGTCAGATAAAACATAAAAAAGGGATTTTAAATTTTAAAAAAATGTGATTTAAATTAAAATGGGGTAGGTATATTAAATAAGAAAAATGTAAATTAAATTTAAAAATGTATTCTGGGGTTCAGTTAGAAAAAAAAGAACTGTTAAGTTACAATATATGGTTGATATAGAAGAGTAATTGTGAAATTTTAAAACCAGAACTGTTTTTTTTTTAATTGTGTAAGTACATAATTTGGTGTCAATGACATCATGTTTATCATATTTATTTTATGATTTGGATCAGATTATTTGTATCATTATAACATTGTTACTCTTTCTATGTTAAATTAATGCTAAACCGAAAATGGTCAAACCTATCTTAGAAAAAAAGAAAAGTACAACCAGCAACAAAAACACACAAACATCTAACAAACGAAATTCACACTAAACACTGCTTACTGAACATGGATCTTATGTACATAAGCATTGATACTACAATCACACAATAATCAACTACTATAAGGGTATGGAATGCATTAGAGCGGTTGATATTCTGAAGCTTTTTTATTGTCACGGGGAAATCATCAAATGACTTCTCCCGCCCTGGGTGGGGCGAGAGAGAGTGTCAGACTCTTACTGACTTAAAATCCTCCCGTTCCTTCTAGGCCTTCTCATTAAGCCCAGAATGTCGATTCTATAAAATTTGTTTGATTTTGAATCTTGTTCGAGTGTGAAGTAAGCGTCGAAGTGACGGGGAAATTACCTACATTTTTGAATGTCACTTGTAACGTCATCTCATACTTTATCTATCAAAATTTTGCGGTCAATTTAGTTTAACTCGCAAGTTTAGCGAGGAACAACTACTCACAGCGGATTCAGATTCGAAGTTAAGAATGAAGTCTTACAGAATCACACTGCAGGTCGCGGTACCTCATTGCGCTTACCCTGCAACCTCGGCTGTGACATTGTGAAGCGTTCTTGGGTCAGAGTCTGGATTCAGGACATATTGCCTTGCCTGCATTATAAACTTCTCACCCTTCGAAGGAGTAAGCTGCATTGTGTAACATATTAGAATTTCGTCCAGTTATGTTAGACTCATAATTACAATGGGACGATACTGTTTTGTTTTTCTTTTAAATTAAACTGTCACACTAGAATTTGTTTTTTTTATATAAAAAAAACCCGAAACAAAATAGGGAAATAACTACACCGCTCTAATGCATTCCCACCCAGAGCTAATCAAAACTAAAACCTAAACTGCACACATAAGACATCAATTTGCTTGCAAACAAACAAACACACGGAACTTTGCATTCTAAATTAACACTTGTTGTACAGAGATAAGGTAGGAAATGACTTACCGTCAGCATGTTGGACTTGGTGCTGTATGGCGTGGTCTTCGGCGGCGAAGGCGCCCTGGCTTCCATAACCACTCGAGGATTCAAGAGACGATTCGCTTGCACTGCTCTCTGAGCAAACCTGGAATTAAAGAAATATTGTAAGTATCAAAACCCGAAGTTATTTTAGCGAGATCTGAAGGAGACTCCTGTTCAAGAATGGACGTTTTCGCACAATGCAAGACTTAAGGTCGGCTTGACCGAAGTGATACCACGGATTCACAGACTGGCCCGAAACAACCTAAGCGTTATGTTTCGCCGTGTGAATGGGATTACCAGAACGCCAATCCTTACCGAATCACAGGTATTCCCTTTAAAAGCCTAGCACCCAAAAATCCGGCAATGCACTCGTTACTCGTGTACATATATGTACATACATATTGCCAGCCTTCAGGGGCAAATTCCCTAGGCGGCATACATAGGCGGCGGCGATTACTTACTATCAGGTAATGCGTCTGTTCGGTTGCCGACCTATCCCATAAAAAAGTAGGACTACGCTGTGGCTATCCCTTAAACCCCAAATAATTCCTTAAAGGCCGACAATGCACTTATAACTTTGGTGTTTACTTAACATCAAGTAATCTGTCTGCTGATTTCTCACTCTATCACTTAAAAAAACACTATCAACATCAGGAGATCAAGTAATATAATGAACATAATGAAAGAAAGGAAAAATTAAACAAACAATCCCAAAATTACTGAACCATAACATGTCCGTTCTCAATATTGTCCCGAAAAATAAATACAACAATTTTCATTAACCTTATGTCAACACACGTAATACATAACAACATTATTTCCTACAACTAAAAATAAAACTTCGACTTGTAAAAACAGAGTTGAAATTCCACTATTATTTATTAGAAAAAGACGTACGTTGTAATTTAAACTGTATCTTCACATGATTAAGTCGTGTTTTTGCATGTCGTACAAATGATCTGGGGCTTATTGTATGACCGTTCGAGCAACTAACGTGGTATTTAATCAAGTTTTCATACCGAACAATGATATGTACGATAGAGTAAATGAGTTGGAGCAATCGATTTTGATGCTTGCGTTTTAAGTAAGAGCGTTTATTTTTCTATCACAAACTTAAGCATTAATTTAAGGTTATATGAGAGTAGAATACATGTTTTACCACACCGACTCTTTCTACGGGTATTATAAGACCAGACTAAGGAACTACTCATTTTACAGAGATCAGGTACAAAGGGCTCTCTAAATATTCCAAAAGACTGCACACTGCACAGCCTTCAAAGAAGTACACGAAAAAATTGAAGTAAATTATATATTATGACAGTACAAAATTTCTTCCCTCCCCCAATCCCTCCCTAACCCCTAAATCCTCTTCCCAGAAGATCTGCAACGCACTTGCAAATTTTTTGGTGCTACGATTCTATATGCGGCGGTGATTGCCTCCTCGGTTGCAGCCGTATAACACTAAAAAAAGTAAACAGTGACGTCATTATTTTTATGTCTGATGTAATACGTCTTTCCTAGAAAAATACCAAAACTAAAATTAAATTGACTGATCTGGCTGAATAAAAAAATGATTGACTTGATCATTTTCTTTATTCAAATACTTAACAAAATATAATGACCGAGTCAAGTACCCAATACTATCATTTAATTCCTTTCAACGATCAAGACTGCCCAATCGTTGTACACGGAGCGATTTCATTGACGGCTAAGCAATATAACTCGGAATCGCATATAAGATCACGTAACGAAACGCAGGAGTCGCGTACATCGTGCTGGAGGATTCTACAAACAACAAATTGAATTTTTAAACGAAAATGGTGACTGCGGCCTTTAGAGTTTTGATTCACATTATGTGAGTATTATTTTATATTCTGATACCTTTGTAAGTAAACCAAGCAACTCGAACAGATAGGACATAAAAACGATGTAGTTTTGTAAAACTGTCAATATTACAAATAAGAATTCAGGTTAATATCTTTTATATTTAAGATTTCTTTATAAATTGTCTACATAAATATATTACGTAAAAAGGTTAAAGTATAACTGAAAAAGTCATAAGGAGTTAGCTGATCAGTCAATTAAGGTATGGTTTTAGTTTTAAGGAAAAATTGTGTAATGCGAACTCAATGCTTAATGTTCTTTTGGTGTTTATAAGATCAGAAGAAGTATCACGATGAAACTTGCAAAAAGTTAAAATTGATACTATCTAATAAGTCTTTTTGTATATGTCCATACATATATTTTATTTGGATATAGGTCCTTTAATTTTACAATAGGTAAAATTTGTAGGTACTTATAAGGTCTTAGATTTAGTAGCATAAGTGAAAAATTAACCCTTATTATGGGGAAGTCAGGGATATTAAGGGAAATCGCTTCCCTTTTTTCGATTGGTACCTGAGATTCAGTATTCGATCGGTTGAATTTCGGAAAGCGATGTTACGGATGATAATCATATACGGTAAGCAATTAGTTTCGCCTTGCGTGTGTTTTTTTTTTTCGTGATACAGAGTCAAACAACGGCGTCGTCCATGTGCAACCACAATACTAGAGATTGGGAGAGTGATAAGGGTTCTGGTGTTTTAGGGATTGGGGTGGGGAAGGATTGGTTTTCCTTATCCTCCCTTTTTCGATCTTAGGAAACTTTGCTAGTGAGTGCGTCAAAAAACCCTCTTATGTTACCATAAAACATATAGATGGAACAAAAACAATTTACAGAAACCGCACACCAATATGAAACTGTGAACCAAAAGCTGTTTAACAAAACATCCAACTTGATATACTTACATGAACGAATGGGAACGTTAACAATGTCGAAAATACTCTTAATTCAGTTACTTGTTTTGTTTATTTCTTAAAGCTTTTTTCGAACTATATAACTAACATAACATTATGTATACTAGCTACTTTCTTGCGGTTTAACCCGCTGCTCGGCTCCATTTAATCGTAGCGTGATATTTTATAGCCTATAGCACTCAGGAACATTGTAGCTATCAGTGAAAGAATTTTGGCAATCCGACCAGGGGTTCCAGAGATTACCCCCTAGATACACACTTACAAACTTTACCTCTTTATAATATTAGTATAGACTAGCTTATCATTTATTTATTTTTTGTGAGGCGAAAATCATCAAATGACTTCTCCCATGACCAGAAAACCCCCCTGTTCCTTCTCCTGCTCCGGGCCGAGGTCGCGGTGCCTCATTGCGCTTACCCCGCAACCCCGGCTGAGCTTATCATTTGCTTGAAGATCTCAATATAAACATTAAATAATAATAATAACTTCATATTATTATATTTAAATTGACATCACACACTTCTAAATTATGGTATCATCATGAAACTTGGCAATTATATATAGACTAGCTTCCGCCGGCAATAAATTGGTATGTTGATAAAAAGTAGCCTATGTGTTAATCCAGAGTATCACCTATTGACATACCAAATTTTAAACAAATCGGTCCAGCCGTTTTTCCGTGAAAGAATAACAAACGTACATCCATACATTTTCACAAACTTTACGATTAGATGAAAATACAATATTATCGTGCAATCAACCTAGTCTGATGATCGAATACGGTAGTGTCCGACTAGTCAAATTCAATACTTTTATTAAACTTTACTTTTTATGTATGAAACTCCAAATTATGACGTCAAAGTACTATTTTTCCAACGAATAGCCTACCTATTTTTCAAAAATTTGATCTCAATTTTTTTTTATTCCTCAGATAACATTTATCTGATTATTAAAAAACTAATAAAGCATCATTTTCAGGATTGCCGTTAACATTCCAGCTTGTTATTCATGGTGAGTAGGATAATAACTTGATAATATACCACACTTGTTATAAAAATAAAATAAAATTTTGTTAAAAAATCTGGTGCAAAAACTCTGTGATGCCTCCTTATTTTATGGCTAATTAAATGTTGATAGTAAATTCAATTATTTTGTTTTCTTACCATTTCCAAGAATTGTATTCGGACTTCTCAGATTAATAGCTTGATTATTTATTATTATTAATATTAACACGAAAACCCTGATCACCTATTACAGTCCAGCGGAAGATTCTCAAATGGAGATGAAGGCAGCTTACAAATCCGGAGAGATCCACGACCAGGAACCACCGATAACGTTAGAGAAGATCAAAACCAAATTGAAAGAGAGTGAGATCTTCAACTGGGAGGATCCAACTCTTACCGAGAGGGAGAAAAAGGAGATGAACAAGTTGTTTGATGCTGTGGAGATTATGGTGAGTTTTTGGTGTTATTGCTGCTACTAAATTGACATAGGTTTTTTCATGTTATAGGTCGGCAAACGAACAGACGAATTACCTGATGGTAAGCAATTAGCGTTGCCCATGGACACTCGTAACAATGGAGGAGTTACGGATGCGTCGCCGACCTTATTAGGATTAGAGATTTGGGGATTTAGGGTTGGAGAGGGATTGGGGGTTATCGGAGGCCCAATCACTAGCCTCCCCTCATTCCTTCCCAATCCTTAAAAATCCGAAACCTTTATCCCCAAAAGGCCGACAACGCAATCGTAACTCCTTTGGTGCAGCGGGTGTCCATAGGCAGGTGCTGATTGCTTGCCATCAGGTAATCTGTCTGCTCGTTTGCCGAACTATCTCATAAAAAGGTGAAGTTTATTTGCATTATGAGCCAGCATTTGCCCATTATCCAGTATGGTGGTCTTAGTGATCAGATTTTTATTTACAAATCTAGATTTAGAATTTTCTGAATAGTTAAGTGCGTAGTATAGTAATAGGTAGCGACTTCATGGCAGTTAAAATTCTTATCGATGTATAATACCTTGAAACTGGGCGATATACGGCTTCAACTAATCATTGTGAGAGGAATATAAAACATTGTTATAATTGGAGGTAGTGGTCCATTGAAAAAGCGACGATAACAATGTAGCTCAGGCATTATCGGGTCTGTTGATAAGGAGTTTTGAGAAAGATCGTAGTCTCAAAAATACTGAATCCTTAATTTATATATCCAAAGAGTTTATATAGAAGCACTCTTAAAGATTGTGAGTACGCATATGTGACGCATATGAGACGACAAAGGATTAAAATTTAATGATAGATCCCATCACTTGGTTTTTTTTTACAACTTGTCTCTGCATTGTTCTTGTTCAGGCGTAAACGCCTGTTCGAAATACGCAGCAATAAGTTGTGAAACACTTCATTATTAAAATTTGTATAGGCGTTTCTCCATTAATCAAGAACATTCGATGTCATCGTTCACTTGCCTGACTACCATTGTACGAGTTACATCTAATTTTTTATTAAACCTGATTTCGCTAATTTTCGAAGTTTTTTACTTTGATTGGCACCATTACATCCTCTAAAGTTGTAACAGTTCTCACTTAGGGTACAATAATGTATACTAAATGTTATATTATGAAAATTGTAAACATTTATTATAAAAAAAGAATAACGATGGATTTTCTTGCTCGTTCTTCTCCATTCGAATCTACAATTTGGAATGAGCACCTAGTTTCACTGACGAACTGACTGGCCGACTATATTCTATTCTGATTATGAGCATTGACTTTAGCTATTCTGCCTAGCAACGAAATTTGGTCTTGGAAAACACACGCTCGGGTCTATTTCTGATCAGCAGACCCGCGATTTCAGTGAGAGGAGACATTTGATCCATTTGATCTGCCCCTTTTAAAGACATGGATGAAGTTGCATGCTAGTGGATCCTCACGTTTTATTTAATGTAAATTAGGTACTTGTTTTTAATTGAAATTTGATTGTTTAATAAATGTGATTGTAATTGATAATAGAATCTGTATTTTTTACTAACACTAGTTGCATAACAAAATTTTAACTATTCATTTATGAGCTCTGAGCTTGAAATAAAGATTTCTATTCTATTGTATTCTATAACTGGAATATTTCCATTTCAGACAACCTCTCGCAACCGTCAGCCCTCAGGTGTTCAAAACATGTTCTCCTCACTCCGTCTAGTTGAGAGGGTCGTCAAGAAACAGTTGAAAGAGGGGCAGATCTCCGAAGAACTTGCTAACAAGTTTAACTGGGAAAAGCTGTGAGTACCTACCATTCATCCATCACTAATTTAGTGATCGAAGCTACCATTAAATTTTTATTTAAATGTTGGAATCATCAATTGATTTTCGACTTTATCCTAACAGAGTTTGTATCGGCATTCCTTCTCAGAGTAGTCAGATAGGAAATGCTGCGGCTTTATCTAGGTAGTTTTTTTCTGTAATAATATTATAAAGAGGTAAGTTCGTATGTAGGGGGTAATCTTAGGAACCGCTGGTCGGATTTTCAAAATTCTTTCATTGACTGATAGATAGCTTCATTGTTCCTGAGACCTATGAAACATCACGCTACGATTAAATGGAGCAGGAAGTGAAACCGCATGAGAGTAGCTAGTAATTAATAGTTTTGTGACAAACGCAAGTTTATGCTATGAATATTTCATCAGGCGCAGGAACACTTATAAACTACACTTAGTAAAAGATCAGCTGTCAGTAAAATCGCGCCTATGAAGTTCTGAATTTAACAGTACGTAGAAACGTACCTGTCAATGTCATACTTTATGGGCATGCTGACCTAATTAGTGATGAGCGATGAATCATCGTGACCACAAACTATAAAATATCGATATTTTTTCTTAATTCAAAATTAATTTATCATTTCATTTTATTGTATATTTTAAAATAATAACGTTATTTACAATAGTGCGTAAATAAAATTTAAATAGTAACCTACTCATGTAAAATTCTTTCGACAACTTTGGGTTTCGGGACATTCTGAAAGTGATTCGGATATAGATTTGGGGTGTACTCCTTTGGAATAAATTTATCTTAGATTAAAATATTAGTTTCATTTCAGTACCCAAATTATATTCCAATTAAACATATAATTTTAGCATCGATAAGTAAGAAACATCGAAAATTATTATCGATACTTTTTTGTACCATGACAACCCTAGGAATGTCAGTTTGACGGATGTCGCAGAGATCAAGCTATCTTTTATAAGGTATAGCACATTTATGATATTAGTAGGATAACAGAAACAGTTGAGAATCTAAATTATTGCCAGAAATAATCTCTCTGTAATAAATCTGAATCTATTATTAAGATCAGTTATCAATTCTAGTTGTAATACTGTAACTGCAAATGTAATATTTTATTCGATTAAATAATAATAATAATAATTCATTTCAGAACTACCCGACAGAGGCGTGACAATCAGCCGACGTACTACTTGGACAAAAGTACAAATATGAGAATGTTTAACTTACATTAACTATAAACATAATTGTAATATTCTTACTTTATACTGAATTGTATCGAGTGAAAATGTATAAGTCCACTTATTTAAGGAATTGAGTTTAAGATTAGGTAATTATTTATATTTATTTATGGAAGGTAACAAAGGTATGATTAGTTTCAAATTAATGCTGTTTTAATAATTATTAATATCTCAATTTCACCTTCGGACATCCCGGCGTACGGCAAATATCCACCCTCACGTTGTTGAGACACCTGCGGCCCGGACTAAGCGTTTTGCCTCGTCATTTATACAGCGTACATCGAGGGATTGGAACAGTTTGCCGGCTGCAGTCTTTCCGTCCGAATACAATTTAGGTGTCTTCAAGGCTAGAGTGAATAGGCTCTTAGTAAACTAGTACGCCTTACCATCAACGATTGCATCACTGCTTACTACCAGGTGGGATCGCAGTCAAGCACTAGTTATACATTAATAGTAGTTATATAAATAATAAAAAATGTAAATAATCAACCTAGTTTTGCAGATAAAAAAATAAAAGATTGACTGAGTGTGTAACAGGTCGTAGAAAAATAATCAACAATTTATTTGTTTAAGGCTACACATCGAGCAACCAAGATCCCGTGTTTCCTGGTCTTTCTTCAAACGATTTTCGCCCTCATTCTAGTAATTTTATACTGGATTACTGCTTGAAGCATAGCTTGACTTGTAGCCGTTTCTACTACGTTTCTAAGCAAGATTTTTTTTAAACTCAAAGACAATGCATTTTTCCATTAAACCTATGAAAAGGTTTGAGAACAAATTGTTAATGTTGATTTGTCCATCAGTGAAGCCTAAGTACTCGTTATAAAAAATATAGATTTACATGGAGAAGATCGGGAAAGAAACTCCATTGTTAACCTTCTTTTTAGTATTGAATATAGAATAGAGATATATAAGGAAAAAACTGTACTTAATTGTATATTAATTAAGTTCTTCATAACAATAAAGATGCAAATTGAAACGTATTTAAGTATATAAGGTATTTAATTTAATTCTTAATAAACTTTGACTGATGTATTACTTTTGTAAATTATTTTAAAATAATATTATAGTGTGATTACAAGAGAGTAGTTTGATTTTATTTTAGTTTATGTATAAGTATAATAATATCGACCTATATATCTTAGTTACGGCTAATATTATCCGACACACCTCGAGAAAGAAACTAAACCATTTATTCTACTTTGAAAAGTGGTTAATTAATACAAATATGAGAATGCTATCTGTAAATGCGTCTTCGTTTACAGAAAGTACTATTTTTTTTCGATGGATCAATCCTCCATTGACTACTCTTGTCCTGGATGGGGCGAGACGAAGGTTCAGACTCTTACTGACTGTAAACCACCCTGTTCCTTCTCCTGCTCCAGAGTTCGTGGTAAATTATTTCGATTGCACCCTTGATTGAGTCACAGACTAGGTTCAGGGGAAAATCATCAAATGACTTCTCCCGCCCAGGGTAAGGCGAGAGAGAGTGCACGACTTTTATGGACTAAAAACCCCCCTGTTCCTTCTCCTGATCTGGGCCGAGGTCGCGGTGACTCATTGCGCTTACCCCTCCACCCCGGCTGACCATCAGCCCTATAGGGCCCCGTCTGTGGCGGTCTATTGGCAAAGAGCCGGTCGGGTGTATGTGCTAGAACATGAATGTACAGCTGGCTCGTACCTTCTCCTGCGGCGGATGCTCGGCGTTGTGTTGCTGGGCGCGCGACGCGGCCAGGGTCGCCAGCTCCGACATGTTCACGTACAGCGCTTGCGGCATTTCTAGATAGCGATATGAAAAAAAATGTCACATTTATAGTATCAAGGTATCTTCAGTAAAAATATGTATTTAAGTGTGCTTCGGCACGAATAGGTCGGCTCGACCGGAGTGATACTACGGCCTCATAAAAATCGGCGTGAAACAACCACAGCGTTATGGTTTGCCGTGTGAGTGAGGTGACCAAAGACCCAATCCTTTCCCCCACCCCCCATTCCTTCCCACTTCTTAAATATCCAGAACCCTTATCCCCAAAGGCACTCATAACTTGTTTGGTGTTGCGGATACTCATGGGCGGCGCCGATTACTTACCATCAGATAGGTCTCGTCGTTTGCCGACATATCTCATAAAAAAATATTATATACCCTATTTGGGAGCAACAAAATGCGTTGCAGTATTGCTCTTCAAATTATTATAGGAGTTGTTTTGCAAGTTTCATTTAAGTCATTCATGCATTTATCAAATGTTTGCTGAAATGTATGTATCTGAATAGAGAACGCTTTGATTGTTTAGCAAGAAACTACAGCACTGGGAAATTACTTTTAAACAGATATCACACAAAACTTTGGTTGGGAATTAAGACCAAAACCTGCTCCGTCCCTTTTTCATCGACGTACAGGCTCAAAATCAGCCCTCTGTACCACACATTAGAGTATATTTTCCATAAACATGCTATACGATTAGAGTGGTAAACCTTTAGTAAGATGAGGTGGCAGTGAGGATGGCTTGCTCGGTTTGAACTCTTGCTGGCACGTGTTGGCGTTGCCCGACTTATTGGGGACTGCGGGACGTTCCAGGGAGGAACATCTCTGTGAAATACATGATATCATTACATAGTATAAAACAAAGTCGGTTTCTCTGTCCCTATATCCCTATGTATGCTTAAATCTTTAAAACTAAGCAACGGATTTTGATATGGTTTTGTTTTAATAGATAGAGTGATTGAAGTTTAAATATGTATAAGCACACTACCTCACACACAAAACCCAAAGGTAACAAACCACAAACTGGTCAAACAAACAACTTTTGACCTTATCACAAAGTTACAAAGTCGAAAATTTATTAAACTGTACACACGGTTACGAATTAATCCAGTTTATCGAGGTCTCGCTTTGTATGATCTTTCCGCACATTCAAGGGTCAGTTAATACTAGATGCGCTTAGCTTGATTTGAAGCCGTGAGTAGGGGTAAAAACCAATTTTTCAAAATACTTTAATAGATTTTCAACTTAGTCACAAAACAATAAAATTTAAAATGTATTAATTAGTAGGTAGTAGACCAAATTCTTCATTAGACTTTATCACAAAACGATAAAGTTGAAAATGTATTAAAAGGTTAATTCATAGTATGGATAGAATACAATACGTACGGTAGGCAAGGGCGGGCGAGCGTAGATGTGTGTATCCCTTGCGTCCACCTCCGAAGTAAACGTGTGCACGCTCAGCGCCGCGCGGGGGTGACCGCGCTCGTACGCTGCGGGGGGACACCAACGTATCAATACAATACATCATCATCGGCCTATAAGTGCCCACTGCTGAGCAAAGGCCTCTTATCACACGGAGAAGGTTTGAGCATTAATCATCGCGCTTGCTAAGGCGAATTGGCGATTTCAAACTTAGGTATAATTAGAAATTATTCCTCTCAATGACTCATTCACCGTATGTCAATGGTGTCTAAATAATCATAGAAAGAACATTTAACTTGGAAAAAGTCGCATTTGTACTTGCCAGGTTTCGAACCCGCATTTTGAGCCACCACGACAATAATTGAATCTTCCATACATTTACCAAATGAATAGTAATTATTTTTAAAACAAAACGTTGCCATACATTTCACACTACTTCTTCATCTTGTGTTGTGGGAGCGTTTACATACATACAAATTCACATACACACCACACCCAGACACGGAACAACAATTTGTGGATCACACAAAGAGCTGATCCGTGAGGGACTCGAACCAACAACACGTTGCACGGCAGCCAATTGCCCGGCCTCTGCAATAACCGTGCAGTCAAACAATGTAATCACCCCATACAAAGTAGCTCGAAATTTTTCTAACAATACAACATTAATAATGTAGCAATGACTTTTCAAACTAAAATAAAATTTATAACAAAGATTTTTAAGTACATTTTACATGATATTGTACATACCTGCAGAAATTGTATGCGGTCTTCCGCCCATGATGGCAGAGGCGGCTCTCTCGAACTGCGCCGTGTCTTTGAGATCGGGCCAAGTCGCTGATGCTGGAGACAAACAATATTGTTTAAGGCTTGCATTTTTATTAACTTTATGTTATACGGCAAACGATGGGTTTGAAAACATTTTCATACTTACAGTAACTTGTCACAAAAAAAAAAGCTATTTTTTTTTGTTTTTTTTTTACAAACCTTTTCCCCACTCTAAAACTTTTTCCTGTATCGTGTGTGCATTTACGAACATATAATTTCACATACACATCACATAAAGAGTTGTTTGTTGCCGGAATGGACGAAAGCCACCGCGCCAGCCATGCAGTCGAATTTTAATTGTTTTCATTTAAAAAATATTCACAACTTTATCTCTGATAGGTATATACAGGATGGCTTTTAAACGAGGGATACATTCATGGATCTGGTTTCGGTGATCAAATACATTTTTTTACTTTTCCGTGCAAAATGAACAATCAACTGCTGATCAGCGATTTGTATGAGGGTAATAAATTTATTTTTTGTGTTTTCGATATTGGTCTCTCGTTCAAAATGCTACCTTGTATAAGTATACGAAAAATAAGTGTGGGAGAGCCATGCTTCGGCACGAATGGGTCGGCTCGACCGGAGTGATACCACGGCCTCACAAAAAACCGGCGTGAAACAACCACAGCGTTGTGTTTCGCCGTCTGAGTGAGGTTACCGGAGGCTCAATCCTTCCCCTCCCCAAATCCCTCCCCAATCCCAAAATCTCTCAAATCAGGGTGGAAATCGGGTGTCCATGGGCGACGCTGATTGCTTACCATCAGCTAATCAGTTTACTCGTTTGCTGACATATAACATAAAAATAAATTACCTGCATTACTGATGCCATCGTGTCCATCGTCCGTATGTTCGTCTTCGGTGTGGCTCTTGGCCTGAGTCATACACTCGCTACTAACGCTCTGATTGTCTGAACCCTGTAAGTTTAAACAGAACAATGAGTTACCCGTGCGTTACATTGCTTGGAGAAATAACAAAGGAGTTTCGTTGTAACTTATTCAAATCTAAATTTGAAACGCAAATTAAATACTACCTCTATACCTAATAACTACTTTTACTGTGCTGTGCTTGATAGGATCCATGATGATCTCATAATTTATAATTTACCACCTATGAATCGCATAATTATTAAGTACTTATCGAGTAAATTTTTAATATCTCAAGCTCTCAGCTTTATGCTTATAAGTAGTTATTTAAATTATATTTAAGTTTATTTTATTGAGTAACTTTCTTATATTAATTATTTAAACTTGTATTTACGAAAGTTGTTACATATAAAAGATACTAAATACAAAATAAATATATAGAAATCAAAAACTTTAAAAGCCAAAACCGCAAACAACAAAATATTGTAAGCAAAATGTAATTTAGAGTTTCTTATTATAAACATAGTACATACCTTTTTGGTTTTATATGTAAGACATATAAAACCACTAAGTACAGGATGAGGACGTAGGGGGGTAACGGTACATGCTTTAGCGGTTATTTTTTATGGAAAAGAGTGGCAAACGAACTGGCTCCTTTAATAATACAAGTGTGGGAGAGCCATTCTTCGGCACGAATGCTCGACCGGAGTGATACCACGGCCTCACAGAAAACCGGCGTGAAACAATCAATGTTTTGTTTCACCATGCGAGTGAGGATACCGGAGACACAATTCTACTTCCCTTTCCCCAATCCCTAAACCCCTTAACCCAAAAACTGTCTCACTTGCAACTAAGAAGTGATTTGCAGGTCATTAATAAAAAAAATCGGATATTTTTATGAAGTTAGTAAGGTGCACTTGAATTTGGGAATATTTTGAAGCACAAGTAAAACTCTTAGAACGTTAGTACGGCAAAGGTCAACTTTTAGGAAGATAGTCGGGTAACGGCTACAAGTAGCCGAATATCATAAACTTTTAGGATATAAGTAAGGTAAAGGCTACATGTAAAATATTGTATTTACATTGTCAACGTAGAGCGAGCGACGCTGTAATGCGTCCTGCGATCGAAATCCGGAGTCCGCGCTGCAGACACTCGACAACCGGAACGCGGACTAAATGGCGGGTAGAAAAAAAAACAAAACAAAAATGCAAAATAAAACAAAGAATAATAATAATAAAGTAAAGCTAGGATGTGACGACAAGTGAAATTCAATACTTCTTTTGAAGGGGCAAGAAATAGTTTTCTCATGTGATTTTTTCTGGTACATTTTTAAATGTGATTTGAATTTCTGCAGGGACTGCCAGTCCTTAATAGGTACTTATATAGACTACTATTTTATTTTGAAGTTATAAAAGTACCAATTTACAGGTTAGTAGGAATAAATGATTTTGTCACTGATCGTCTGGAAAACAGAACAGCGTTTATGATAAACAGAAATGGTAATTACTCTGACAGTCCTGACTTATTAAATGCTTGCCTTAATGTAGTACCGAATTTTACTTAACAGACATCAAAATAGGAAAATCTACGAAAAAACTCTAAATCAATTAAAAAATCAACTCTACTGAACTAATCTAATGAATTCACTAATATCTAATAAAACAGTATATATACTATAGTTCATTCCATAATTAGAGACAACAATTTGACAACAGCAAATGTCAAACTACAAAATAATGTGGCCAGATTTTTTAACATAGTGATGGACCCGAGTACGATGTTTTAAAATACCGATACCGTTTTTTTTATAAATTACCCTGAGCAAAACAAAAAAAGTTGCGGGGATGTTTTTATAGTATAATTGTACCTAGTTATTAATATATGAAGCTAAAAAAGGACTTGAAGATTATTACAAATTAAATGAACTCGGAGCAATATGAAGAGATCAGAGATCGGATGGGAGCGATATTACAATCTGACTGACAGACATTATATTTATAATTATAGAAACCAATACCAACGTATTTCTAGGCTTAAATTATGTTTGACATTCCATCTGTCAAATTGCTGTGAGGAAATACCAAAGCTGACCATAGTTTCTTGTAAAATAATGATATCATATCAATGCTAATAGTTAATAGTTTTACAAATCATTTTCGGTATTTCGGTTAATACCGGTCGCGGGACTTCACTATTTATGAAATGGAAAAAACATGCAACACTCGAAATGTCAAATCTTTGTCTCTAATTATGGAACGAACTATACACACTTTTACATACGCATATCAATGTAACCCAACCTGCCAAACACAATTTCAACTCTATATCAAAACATATAAAGACAAAAATCTGACAAACGTTGGAGTACATTGACCTGCCATTTGTTTTTTAATGTAGGGTAAAGGTACCTGTGTGAGACAGTGTTGAGAGTCGCTGGAAGGGGCAGGGATGGTGCCCGCTGAGGACGCGTTCGATATCGGGGTCGAGCAACTCACTGTTGAACCGGATACACCTGGAAATTGTGTCTATATAAGTACTTATAGAACTAATTAAGACACATAAAGCCAGAAGAAATTCATAATTCATATTTCACCATCATCAGTCTATTAGTGCCTAAAGGCCTCTTCTCAGACGGAGAAGTTTAGAGCATTAATCAGCGTGCTTGCTCAAGGCTGATTGGCGATTTCGTATTTATAATTTCTAATTATAATAAGTCCAGGTTTCCTCGTGTAATTTTGACCGTATGTAGTTGGTGTCAAAATAATCATAGAAAGTGCATATAACTCAGAAAAAGACACATTGGTACTTGCCAGGTTTTGAACCTGCAACCATGTATGAGAAACGGGCGCCATAACTTTGGGGCCTCCACAACGTGTTCAATTTGATCTATTCAAATCATACTCACATATTTACCTCACACAAACAGCTAACCGATCCTCAACTTTATCACCTACACAATAACGACCATAGAAAAATAGGGTAAAGTCAACTGTAACTCACCATGCTGCTGATCAGAACACTGGCTGTTCAATGAAGATATTGAGGTGAGCGATGACTTGCGGCTTCCGAGACGGGATGAGGCCGATGGGGAATGCGGCGCCGACCCACTCTCAGCCCAACCGCTGTAGCAGGACTTTATGTCGCATATCACCTGAAAATATACCATCGGACTTGGAGATAGAGTTTCAAATCACATAACACCATCAGCCTATAAGTGCCCACTGCTGAGCAAAGGCATCTTATCACACGGAGTGTGTCACAATGTGTCGTGGGCCCATTTACAATCATAAAAATTGATATACACATCACACCTAGACCCGGAACAACAATTTATGGATCACACAAAGAAACTACTGCTGAGCAAAGCTTCTCACACGGAGAAGGTTTGAGCAATAATCAACATCAATGTGAAAACGTAATTAAATGAAAGGAAAAACAAACAAAGATAAAGGTTAAGCATGTCAAAATGTTACGAAAGAGGTATCAAAGGGTTTTTTTCCCTTTTGATCACCTGTTCCTAAAAACAATTATGGCAGCTGTAAGCTTACGATTACGAATTTCACAAAAATACAAGCTTTAAACCCATTATTATTAATAAGCGAGCCTTTAAACAAATTATGCAAAGAATCACAGTCTAAACTTATGTCTTAAAAGCGTTTACTCGGAACGGTTTTTCATATACATATTTATTAATTAATTTTACTGTTAATGCACTCAATCTAATATTGTACCTAGGTACTGCGCTTTTGTTTTTATTGGAATAATTTTGCTTGCCATGCTGTGTGTTTACACTTGGGTAGCAGTATGTGTTAAAACCAATTTATAGATGGTAACTTAAAATTGAACCACTCTGTATTTCTAAATTTTTATTTCCAAAATCAATAGATTTATTTGATCTTTATATATTGCAATGAAATACTGAGTTTCAATAAAATCAATTCAGTAATTTCCAAGATACTGAAACGCGTACCGCCAACCAATCCAACCTATTTGAAAACGCACCAACGACGCAAAAGATGCTTGGCGCAGAAATGGACAGGAGATACAGAAGTATTGTAGTTTTTAGTGTGGGAGAGCCATGCTTCAGTACGAATAATGCCACGGCCTCACAGAAAACCGGCGTGAAACAACCACAACGTTGTGTTTCGCCGTGTGAGTTAGGCCGTGGCATGCAAACTCTAATCTCTAAATCCCTAATCCTCAAAGAGCCGGCAAAGCACTTGCAACTCCTTTGTTGTTACGGGTGTTCGTAGGCGGCGCTGATTACTTACCACCAGGTAATCCGTCTGCTCGCTTGGCGAAAAAAAGAGCTACAATTACCTGTAAACTGGCAGCTGGTAGTGTCCTAGGCTCAGCTGTGTGTCTGATGAGCTGCTCGCTTCCTTCTTGTAAATGACCAACCTCCGCTAACATTGCCACTTCAGATTCCTGTGAACACGACACGATACCATAATTTTAACTACAATCCAAAAGCCACGTTTAAAAAAGTACAATCTAGGCATTATTTCAAAAGGAATCCTTTAACAAAGCAATTTCAGTCACGTTTTGGTCTTTTTTTAACGAAGTATGTACGAGTAATCTGGGTCAACACCACATATAACATCTACATCCACAGAATAACACGCCTTTATCACCGGGCTGTGAGAACTGTTACTTGGTTGATGGGCTGGCCACATTGTTCAAAAGTTAAAGATTTGTAATGAGAACTCACCACAACGGGGTTTAGGAGCGACACGAAGTGACAGAAGCGGCTTCGTTCCTCGATGAGCGCGGCCTTCACTGCTTTCTCCTCCATCTCCTCCAACTGTTGCTTACGTTCTTGAATGTCCTGGAAGGATGAACATCCACATTGTAGTACAGAAATATACAAATTCCTCCATTTTGTAAAAGGTATTGGGGCTGTGTGACGTGGTGGACTGAAGGCTAAGCCGCCCACTTCTCATGCATGAGAGTCCCAAACCTAGGAGGTACCAATGTAACTTTTACCAAGTTATATGTATGTCCTTTTTCTATGATTGTTTAGACACCACTGACATACAGTGAAGGAAAACGTCATGAGGAAACCTGGACTATTACAAGTTTGAAATCGCCAATTCGTATTAAGCACGCGTGGTAATTAATGCTCAAACTTTCTCCGTGTGAGAAGACGCCTTTGCTGAGCAGTGGACACTTATAGGATGATGATGATGAATGGAGCTATCGGTTTGTCCAATCAGAGTAGTTGTCAAAACTTGAATGCCCATTGGTGTCACACTTAGGTAAGAGTAGCCTTATTGTAACATCTCAGTACGACCTTATATTCAATAAGGAATTCTTCATCTCTCCACATCCAAAATCTCTTTTAGTGCACATCGTCTTTCATAGTCTTAATATTACAATACAAAATTCGAGATCCTAAATAAGAAATAAGAAATAAGAAATCTTTATTTGTATGAAACACGGGGTACATAGATGTAACATTTCTTATAAGTTCTGCATGTTTCGCCGTAGCATCGGCATACAAATATAAATAAAAAGGGTATTTATCAACAAGAAAAACTCAAAAACAAATAACAATTTAAAGTCTTAAAAACTAACAATACAATATTAAGAATTTATGGTACCTAGCCTAAACAGTTTCTTCCTTATGAGCCATATACTCGGCCATAGAATAGAAACATTTCTCTAAAAGCCATTTCTTGAGCACATTCTTAAATTTACACAGTGGTAGTTCCCTTACAGTTTTAGGTAGCTTGTTAAATATTTGGATAGCCATACAATAACAGTTCCTTTTAAACAAAGTAGTCGACATCATAGGAAGAACCAACTTACTCGGGTCTCTGGACAAATACTTTCTGGTTTCGCTAACTTTCTCGAATAACCTACCATGTTTTTTAACGAATACCCCAACTTCATAAATGTAGAGGCATGTTATCGGGAGCACTTTAAATTTTTTAAAGAATTGTCTACAGGACACCATTGGATTAATACCACTTATTGCCCGAATACACTTTTTTTGGGATATAAATGCTCTATTTATGTCTACCGAATTACCCCACAGTAAAATTCCATACCTCAAAATTGAGCCTACGTATCCATGGTATGCTAATAGTGCAGTTTTCTCAGATGCGAGTTTACGTATCTTTCTAAGAGCATACACGAACCTGTTGATACGTTTGCAAACATTATTTACCTGCACTTTCCAATTACAATGTTTATCAAGGAAAATCCCTAAAAACTTTGTTTCATCGATTTCCTCAACTTTTTGACCGCGATAATTTATTTCTAAATTTTGAGTTTTGCTATTGTAGTTCCTAAACTGGATAATTTTAGTTTTAGATATGTTAGCTGTGAGGTTGTTTTCACTGAGCCAGCTTGCTACGTTTTCTATTGTGCTGTTAAGTGTTTCTTTGTATTCAGAAAAATCTTTGGTATACTCAGGTACTACTAGGGAAATATCATCTGCAAAAAGAGTGCACTTAAAATTTGTAACTTGGGGCAGATCGTTAATATATATTAAGAAAAGAAGAGGACCTAATACACTTCCCTGGGGAACTCCGAAACTATTTAGTTGATAAGGAGATTTGTGTGATGTAAAAATAAGATTTTTGTCAACGCGAATAATTTCTACACATTGTTTTCGATTTCTTAGGTAATTAGCTAACCACTGCAGTGCATTTCCTCGGATCCCGTAGTATTCACATTTTTGTAGCAGGATTTGATGATCAACAAAGTCAAAAGCGCTAGACATATCAAAAAAGATAGCAGAGGCTCGCTTCCTCTTGTCTAGAAATTCCGTCACATTTTTTACTAAAGAAAAGGCTGCAAGCGTAGTTGACTTGTTTTTCTGAAACCCATTTTGATCATCAGATAAGATGTTATGTTTATTCAAGAAACTACTTATGCGAAAGTGCATTAACTTTTCAAAAATTTTAGAAAAAATGGGTATTAGTGTTATAGGCCTATAATTATTCAATTTCTCTTTCTCATCCTTTTTATACAGTGGTCTTACAATTGAAAGTTTAAGTTTTTCAGGAAAAGTGCCCTCAGAAAATGAAAGGTTAATAAGATAACTAAGTACTGTTGCAATTTCATTTTGACATTTTTTAATTATTTTAGTTGATATAGAGTCGTAACCAACAGCATTAGTATCTTTCAGTGATTTGATTGCTTTCACTACCTCACTTCCAGTGCAAGGAGATAAATAAATGGTTGAATCGACTGAATTAAGAAGGGAATAGTTAGGATTATTTTTGTTACGCTTATTTGTTTTTGTAATATAAAACTCATTGAATGCTTTAGCTATTTCTACTGGATCGTTTATAGTATTTTCATTATATTCTATATTTTTTATATCATGAACACTCATAGTATTATCAAGTTTATCGCCAATGACATCCCACGTTGCCTTACATTTATTTTTCGCGTTCGCAATAAACCTATTGTTATTCTTTTTTTTGCAATCTGTTATACATTTTTTAAAGATTCTAGTATATTGTATATAATGTAATTTACTATTATGGTCTTTGGTTTTATAGCAGTTGAATCTAAGTTTCCTTTTTGCTAGAGCGGAAGTTTTAATGCCTGTAGTCAACCATCTCGGGGAGCGCACATTTGTCTTTATTTTGGCTCTATATATAGGAAAACAAAGATCGTAGAACAGTTTGAAATCCTCATAGAATAAGTCGAAGGCTCGGTTACAATCTAATTCATTAAATACATAGTTCCATGACAAGTTCGATAAACAGGCTTTAAATTTCTGTATGTTTTCTTCGTCGTAATTTCTTTTCATAACATACATATACGTTGGCTTTGGTTTTTTATACATAATTTTAAAATCAAGAGTCTGAGCAGTATCATGATCAGACAAATAAAGCTGATGCACTTTACCTACAGCATTATGTATATTACTAAAAATATGGTCTATACAGGATGATTGACGTGTGGGTTCGTTTATGTGCGATTGTAAATTATGGGTAATAAGAAAATCTTTTAAGTTTAATGCAGGAGTGTTATTTACTAAAGAGTTTATATTAAGATCACCGGTTATAATTATTCGTTTGTTTTCTTTTAAATTTAATTTAAAGATAAGAAGTTCTAATTTATCGAAGAATATAGCAACATTTGAACTAGGGATTCTATATACACATAAGATTATACATTTTAAAGACGGAATATCGACACCACAGCACTCAAATACTTTTTCGCTTGAAATCATATTACAAATTTGAATGGGCCTGCAGTCCAAGGATTTATCAGCAAGAATACAAACACCACCGCGTTTTTCATTTTGTCTGGAGAAAAAACTACATAAATTATAGTTATGCAACCGAATATTGGGTTCATCACCTGATTTTACAAATGTTTCTGATAAACAGATGATGTCGATATGGCTATTTTTTTCTTTAAATTCTTCCAGACATATTTCTATCTGTTCCGATTTATTTAATAATCCTGCTATATTCTGATGGAGCAAGGTTGCATAGCTTTCCCTAGTCTTGACACTATCACACGTTTCTGTATTACGGAAAAAACAGGTCTCGATCTATATTCTGTGTAACGTTGTTTTTTGATATTTTGCTATTTTTTTGTGAGAAATAGTAAGGAATAGTCCCTTTTTTCGGTAGGCTTGAACTAGTTTTTGATAAAGTTTTAGTTTTATTAAGTTGTTTTAAAAATATCTTATTGTAGTACTCAGAATCTAAAACTAAATTTATTTCGTGACAAACATTTACCATATATTGTTTCCTATTATAGTATGAACTTAAGGGAATTTCCACGAATTTACAATTTTTAAAATGGTAGCATACATTTTTTAAAAGATTATTTAACATTCCTTCATTTAAATATCTATTTCGGACTACATTTAACATCAAAATATTTATGTTTTTTAATGATTTAAGAGTTCCTACTAGATCATACAATACACTGTTTGGATTTGTATCATATTCACCAACACATAATATTAAATAATTTTCCTTATTATCTTCTATGTGAGTAGTAGAATTTAAAAGCTCACATGTAGTGACGTTCGTCTTAATTACGGAAGATATACGATACTCTTCAAATCGTGTGCCAATTCTTGATAATATTAACTTGGAAGCTAACCCTGCCAGTTGTCCTCCACCTGCGATGAATACCTGGGGACGTATTTCTGTTGTTTCTTTTACCTTGTCAATATCAATTTGTTGCATTGAGCAAGTTCTAGGGATCTCTTGCGTTATCTGCTGTTTAGCGCCATCTTGTGACATCTCGGAGGAACGTGGCAAATTTTGGACATAGGTTTTTAATTTTAATTCTGACCTACTCCCAGCGCCATCTGTTGTAATAGGATCGACTTCACTGTCGGGTATCAAATCAAGGTCAGTGCAGCTCATATTCAAGTTTGAAGTTCTTCGTTGTAATTTCTTGCAAGCCTTTTGTTTCGATATCAAATTAGTTTTTTTCAAAGTACTGGGTGAATTCGTACATATCTGTTTTAATTGCTCATTTTTTTGTTTCTGTTCATAGAAAAGGCGTTGAAGATTATTATTTACTATTGTCAAATTCTCAATTTCAAGGTGTGCTATTTCAAGTTGTTCTTTCAATTTTCCAATTTCTTCTTTATACCTTTCGATGTCTTCGTTGAACAAATGTCCGGTTGATAAATCAGGCAAACTTTTAGCTAAGTAATCCGAGGTGGTCGATAGAAAGGATAAATTGAGTGACTCGTTGGCTGTTGTTTTGTTTTTGCGGAGGGTGATATTTTGAAATTCCATGGTCGTTTCATATAATTTTCAGCTTATTTTGAGATACTATGTGGTTGGAGATAAAAGTAGTAAAAATGCCAAAAAAAAAAAAAAAAAAAAAAAAAAAAAAAAAAAAAAAAAAAAAAAAAAAAAAAAAAAAAAAAAAAAAAGAATAAAAAAATGAAAGAAAAGTTGCAGCCTGGATTCGAACTTGCGACACAACGACTCGTAACTATTTAAATCGTCAGCGTTTACCACTTAGTCAAGCCAATGTTTAGAAATTAACTTGAAATAGCGCTTCTTATGCTTGTATTATCAAAATTGTTCGTTATAAATATTTTGAATTTTTAAAATTGTTTTTTTCCATCAACCGTCTATTGTTTTGCATCACTAAAAAATCACTAGAATCACTCTATTTTGTTATTGTTTGTTCTTGGTTCTTCTGTTATCACTTAAACATCACTGTTTTATGCATTTATAGCAGTTTTATTTGAGATATTAGTCATATGTAATATGGTTTTTTCACTGCACTGCTTGGAAAAAATGTTTATAGTTTTTTCTACACTGTATCAGATAATAACACTGAGATAACATCACCACTAGGTTAGGTTATTAGACTTCTATGAACATACTATGCTACTTATTTAGTACCAAAGTGAGATATTACTATTTTTAATATTTAAAAATTCGCGGAACTGATGTTGTGCTTGGCACTAGCGCCATCTCTCTATTGGATATTGTTTGTGTCTGATCCAATTGGACCTCACCAACAAAATCATGTACCATTTGGATCCCATGCTCACCTGCATGCAAACATCAGCCCGTCTTTTCGCGTCAGGGGGCGCTCTCCTAGCCTTCCTCGCGTGCCTTTGTGCCTCTGTGACACGGCGTCTAAGTTCAGCTCGAGCACGCTTGCACTCCCTCGCGTGTTCTCGGCCCAGTGCCCCAGTAGTACAGGTCCCGCGACGCCATTCGTCAGCGCGTTCTGATAGTGGAGTTATTAGGGTATCCATTAGGGCGCTGGAAAGAAAAGAACAAAATTCGTTTTGAAAATAATTCTTGAATTGAGTTGTTAAGTAAAAAAAGTATGTAAAAAAAATTGGTTCTTGTTTTGTGCTTTGTTAGCAAAGGTAATAAGAAACCTCGTGGTGGGCCGGGGTGTAGGCACCCGCTTATCCTGCTTAAAGCTGGTTCAAAGCCTGGCAATCACCAATGTGCCTCTTTCTGAGGCACATTGGTGATTGGTGATTGCCAAAAAAATTCATTCATTATTCATCTAAGATTATTTAGATAGAACTCTGACAAGCGGAAACATCATCAGGAAACCTAACCGTAATCCGCCCTGACCAAGCTCGGTGATAAATTCTCAATCCCTCTATCCTATGTAAGAAGAGGGATTTTATATTAATCGGAAATATAGATGACAAAAACACGTGACACGACTTCCTTTTGGCAATAACCATTTTACGTTTTAAAAGACCCGACCATTGATAACCACTAATCACTCAGCTCATTAGGTACTTAGGTTTTCAGAAAACCGTTTCTTCTTAAGAATGCCTTTGACTTTCTTACGAACATTTGAATCTATTTAAAACACAATATTTCACAAAGCTTAACAAAAAGACGTATGGAACCTACATTTTAAACGTAAACAAAAAGAATTTTGTACGAACTCGCAACATATGACGTCTTGTTTTGATGTCAAATATCATACTTATTTCGGAAAAATAAGGTAGAAAAAATAAGTACAGTAATAATAGTCAAATCTATGAATGGAAATATGATAAATGAATAATTATAAAGATATTTGAATAGTGCATTGTACTGAGTAGTCAAAATTATTATTTTTTGACATAAACTACCTAACTGCACTTTATTTAAATATTCTTCTGACCATAACAAAAAAGGAATACGGTAGTTTCCAACTAGTCAAATTCAATACTTTTATCCAAATGTCAAAAACGATACTTTTCTATTAAATTTGTATGAAAAACTGAGGTATGACGTCATAACAGTTTTGCTTACTTATTTCTGAATAATGAGCTAAAAAAATCTAAAACTTAGTGTATCGATCGATCGATGAATTACTTTTAAATTAATTTATTTTTGACCTAGGGCTAGGACCACTACCCAATTGGTGAAATTGGTCCAATCGTTGAAGAGTTATGCAATTGCCGACATAATATGCGATTTTTTTTAAATGATAATAATTTAATGACTTGCACGCGCGAAACACCCGATAAAATTGACGACGCGCGACATCACTGCTACGGGCATTCATATTGCATAGGTACTTGAAACTAATAGAACGGGTAAAACGCGCGGCAGAAGCTAGTTGACAATAAAAGCTTAATCCAAACTAATATTATAAATATATTTTCTTCACGCTTAAACTACTGAACCGATTTCTGTAAAATTACAAGAAACAGACGTAGTTTGTAACTCGAGAAAGGACATAGGATAGTTTTTATACCAAAAATCTGCAGGACGTCACTGTTCCGTGTGAACAGAGTCGCGAAGCTAGTATGTATTCTACATAAACTTTGAAAACAAAAAACAGATAAACATGGCAGTAGATCAATCTAAGGCAGCTTAAGTAATAATATGTATATTCAACCTTTAAACTATGTAAAATACTTATAATAGATCTTTACCATCGATCACTAATAAAGAACTAGTCATCAATGGTCTTTACCTATGAAATTGACGTTTTGCATGAAAAAATTTAAACGATTTTTTTGATTTGAAATGCGATGAAAATGTAACACTAATCAATAAACAAATGACTACTTTTGGAAAAACAAAATTAATTAGCCTTACCCAAACAAAAACTATTTTGATTTGAAATGGCCAGTATTGCAGAACGGCAATTTCATAGGTAAAGACCTATTATTAAAGAACGTTGTCAGACAGATATGTGCAAGTAGGTACCTACATGGAAAAGGAAAATGCAATGTTTATTTCAATATATTGTATTGGCGATTATTTAGACGGCACAGGGACAATGGAAGGTAAACTGCAAATTATTAAACCTTACAATCATGAAGTAGATCAAAAAATATTCTTTCATCCAAACCCGTAAGTTTAGAATGTTTTGCCCATACTAATATTATAAAGTGGTAAAATTTGTAAGTTTGTATGTTTGTAAGTTTGTAAGTTTGAATGAAGGGGGTAATCTTTGAAACCACTGGTCGGTTTCTCAAAATTATTTCACCTATAGATAGCTACAATGTTCCCGAGTGCTATAGGCTATAAAACATCACGCTACAATCAAATGGAGCCGAGCGGCGAGTAAAACTGCGCGGGAGTAGCTGATACTTAATATTATTAAGAGGTAAAAACTTGTAAGAGTGTATGTAGGGGATAATCTTTGAAACCACTGGTTAGATTTCCAAAATTCATGCTTCGGCACGAATGGGTCGGCTTGACCGGAGTGATACCACGACCTCACAGAAAACAGGAGTGAAAACCCAAACCCACATCGGGAAACGCAATTTTTAATTCACACAGAGTTGTTCTGTGCGAGAATCGAACCCGCGACACGTTGTACCGCAGCCAGTTGTCCAACCGCTGCGCCAACCGTGCAGTCATAATATACATATACTTCGTTGAAATAAAATGGATAAACATTTTTTTTATTGTAATAGAACAATATTTTTTGCAAACTAGGTACCTTTAAACTAGATTTCCCAGTTTTACCTGTTAATTTACTCCTTTGTGTTGATGCCAGCAGACTAAACAAGACTAATCTGTCAAGTTCCTTTAATACTTGTTTTTAATACAATAGTGTGATTTGTTTTTTATGTCGTAATTAAATGTTACTTTGTTTACTTATACTTTGAATCTCTCGAAGTATTACCTAACATCAATTACCCTACAAGCCTTTGTACATACCCCGGGGTTGCGGGGCAAAACGCAATGAGGTACCGTGGCTTCGGCTTAGAGTAAGAGAAAGAGCGAGGTGGTTTATAGTCAGTAAGAGTCTGACACTTCCTTACACGGAGAGAAGTTATCTCATAACTATCCCCCCATAAAAGACACTGTTATTTTTTTTCTGCTTTTGGCGACGTTCGTTCGCGTGGAATAGCGGTCCTGCATATTTTTGGTATAAAAACTACCCTATGTTCTTTCTCGAGTTCCAAACTATGTTTGTAACAAATAACACAGAAATCGGTTCAGTAGGTTAGGCGAGAAGAAAAGACAGACAGACAGACAGAGTTACTTTCGCATTTACGATATTCAGTTTATATGATTAAGGATACTAACAGAGGGCGCAGTTTCTATACTACTTTTTAGTATGTATGAATTTGCGTCATATTAGGCATTCCGTTTTTCATACAGAATCCGGTTCCGAGAGAAATCACATTTTACGTCACTGTCGGCTAATGACAGTATGCGAACCGCAATGTACCGTTGGCATTTGCAATGACGTAAGTAGGTATGCAATCCATGACGTGTTAAGACATGCAGAAAATTTATATTAAGAGTCGATCGGTTCGCATCCGAGGGAATGTGCGTCAAGACTTCATGAGTATCAGCGATGTACGGTCAACGTACTGCTTTCCGTTCTTTTTTTTTGCGGGGAGTATTTCCGAATTTCTTATCTCGCCCTAGGTGGACAGAGAGAGTGAGGAACTGACTTAAAGTCCCCATCATTCCTTACCCTACTTCGAGCCGGCGCGATACGTTTATTACGTATTATGAATCAATCCTACGACTAGGGTCGTGGTGGCCCGGTGGTTAAGGAGCCCGCTTCTCATGCATGAGGGTGTGGGTTCGAAACCTGGCAAGTACCAATGTGACTTTTTCCGAGTTATATGTACTTTCTATGATTATTTAGACACCACTGACATACGGTGAAGGTAAACATCGTGAGGAAACCTGGACTTATAGTTTCTAGTTATAAGTTTGAAATCGCCAACCCGCATTGAGCAAGCGTGGTGATTAATGCTCTAACCTTCTCCGTGTGAGAAGAGGCCTTTGCTCTGCAGTGGGCACTTATAGGCTGATGATGATGAATCAATCCTAACATCCTATTTCACTACCCTCAACTATCCGATTGAAGACTGTGGTACGTACTTAAAAATTGGGCATGAACTACACAAATTGTGAAAGAGGTCCTAAGTACCATATGTAGTAGTGATGTTCCGAATATCCGTATCCGTATCCGTATCCGTTATTTTACACGCGGATTTTTTACGGATCTTTTTCAGTTAATCATCAGGTAGAAATAAAAAAAAATCCAGCTAGTTTTTTTAAATAATCATATATTTTGCACCTATATATTGCAAACATTTAGATACATAGATTTTTATAATGAGAACAAGTTAAAACTTTACTTTTAGGACAGTGAAATAATTAAAACATAATTATTGTTTTCTATAATTAAATGAATGACACCACACCCGCGCAATGCAAGTCAAAACATGTCGTGTCTGACGTTGCGGCGAGCGAGACGTCAACTATCTTTTCAAGGCCGCGCGCGGCCGGCGACACTAATCTTATGAGAAATTGAAGATCCGTATCCGTATCAGTATCCGCGGATCTTGACACTAAATATCCGTATTCAGATCCGTATCCGCGGATCTTCATTTTTAGCGATCCGGCACATCACTAATATGTAGGTATATTATATCTTTACTGTTATTTGGTAATCAAGTGAGAAAATAAAGATTGAATCAGAACTGACAACGTTTTGTTTTTGTTACACTAAAGTATATTGAAATCATAAGTTCTGTCATAATAGGATTAGTATACTTCGCAACCAAACTCATTTATAAGCTTTATAAATAAAATAACGACTACAACAGTATCAATACTTACTAAGTATGGGGAGAGCCAAGCTTCGGCACGAATGGGTCGGCTCGACCGGAGTGATACCACGGCCTAACATAAAACCGGTGTGCGTAACACTTACGTTGTGTTTTCGTCGTGTACAGTGCGGCCGACGTATCTTGGCGAGTCTGAAGTTAGCCGATTAGCTGCGCAGTACACAATTTTGTTCCTAAAAGATCCATTGCGCAGACAAACGGCTAACTTCAGACTCGCCAAGATACGTCGGCCGCACTGTATGTGAGGTAACCGGAGGCCTAATTCTATCCCCCTCCCCCCACCCATCCTCAATCCTTGAATCCCTGATAGCCCATAAAAAGCCAGCAACAGACTTGTAATAACTCCTTTGGCACTACGAGTGTCCATGGGAAGAACCGATTGCTTATCATCAGGTTATCCGTGCGCTCGTTTGTCGACATACATATACATATGACGATCCTCAAGAAACAAGTTTGGCGTAATATGAATCTTGATCGTTTTGTTGACGATGCCGTAACGTCATAGCGTAGTAAACAAGAATTTACCTTATAAACGTCTTCATCCTGGTCTCAATGGCTCTGTGACGTAAGCAGACGCGGGTTAACGCTGTACCGATCTCCTTGGTCGCACCTGTAACAAGGATATTGTGAGGTTTATTAAGGGTACACTTGCCATAGTGTGTTAGAGATTAGCTACTCAGTTCCGTGCAGCGAGTTCGATTTTCTCACTCACAAAATTATAAAATGGATTTTATAGTAAACAATATTGATATGTCGTTAAGTCAAACCAATTATAACTACAGCTTGTTTCTGACATTAATCAGAAAATGGAAAATCTTATAAACACGGTGTTAAAGTTTTATTTACGTACATATTATAATCTAAATAAGCTTGCAATCTAAGAGAATTAAGATTTAATTTAATATAATGATCACTAAATCTGAACAAGGTATGTATGATGCGTAAGTTTTTTTTTATTTTATTTACAAGGCAATCACAACAGGTAACAATCGACATGATACAATCTATACTAATATTATAAAGAGGTAACATTTGTAAGTTTGTAAGTTTATATGTTTGTAAGATTGGAAGTTTGTATGTTTGTAAGTTTGTATGTAGGGGTAATCTTTGAAACCGCTGGTCGGATTTCAAAAATTCTTTCACTGATAGGTAGCCACAATGTTCCTGAGTGCTATTATTATAGGCTATAGAACATCACGCTACGATCAAATGGAGGAGGGGGTGAAACCGCGCGACAGTTGCTATTGTTTTATACAGTATAACATAACATTGGGCACAGACTGAAACATAATGTACCCAAGTAACACAGTCATGCTGAATAACGTTTGAGTACTAGTGATCCGCGAAACTATAAGCTGTAACTATTGTCTGGATATTGTCTGAGTGAACGTCTATTCAACTGTTACTCAAGCAATTTGGGCACATTTTTAAATGCATAAGTCTGTATAATATAGCTGTAAAGTTTGGGTAATTGCTTAATAATAACAGGCTTAACTTAATAACGTCTGAAAAAAAGCTGTCATCACTTTAATATAGCTATTATTTCGTATTTATTCAGACAAATGCATATGGATTTTGTTATTCAAAAATTATTCAGGATTATGTTCATTTGCGTAATACTTTTCAAACATAATTAAAAGTTAAGTTGTGAATTAGAAAAAAAGTTGTGTTTAATCGTGCAGTGTGTGCTTTGTTTTGAAATTTCATAGTTTTTAGTAAAATAAAGATGGTAGTGGAACTATGCGAATCGGTAAGTACCTAAATGTTATTATGTATTATAACCATGATACACGTAAAAAATTACTGCGCAACTTATTTTATCGTGAATAGCATATAAATTATCTCAACATTTTTCACGCGCCGCTTTCATATTCATTTTTAGTAATAGTATATGACATATAAATAAAGACTTTTAGAAGTGACAAAAATACTTAGGATGAAACAGTTATGCTAATCTTTCAAAAGTCATTAAGTTACTCAAAAAATATATTTTTAACTGTAATTAATTACTAAAATGGGGCATTTTATATATATAATGTTTCAATAATTTCCTTAAAAATAAAATAAAATGGCGATTCATTATAAAAGTTCTCCACGCAGCTATTTTACAGTACAACTCTGATTTAATTTGAGAAATAGTGATTAGGCACTACAAGTATCTGAATAACACTTGATAACGTTACTAAATGTGATTAATTATACAGCGAATCAGGGTTCAAAACATAATACGACGGACCAAATTTCTCAGGAAAATTGATATAGGTATTTATATGAGTAATTACAAAAAAGGACCACTTATATTTTTCAATACAAATAAGGGTTTTTTTTCTACCTATTCAGTGGCAAATGATACAACACAAATACTATGCATAATGTTTTATTCTTATTTTTTTTACCATGTACATAAACGCAGTTATAACGATGTTATGTTTTTGTTTTTCTAGTTTTAGGTAGGTTGGGTTAATTTCGTATTACAAAAAATTACAACCATCTATGCGATGGGGGTAGTTTAGTAGTATGTAGATTCATAGTGAATTATTTTAGCTAGAACAAACAACATCGAGTAATTTACACGTATTGATCAGTTACTATTATTCACAGATAGGGAGCGCACCGCGGCTGCAAGTTAGTGCGTGGCGTGTGTTAAACTCGCGAAATTATAGTTTCTAAAAGGTTTTTATAGTTTTATTGTTTTTAGCTATCATAAAATAGTACTTACTCTAAGTTCCTAACATAAAGCGAAATGTCTTGCAGGAGAATGCTGTTTAAGATTGTTTCTACTCAACGAAGGGGCAGAGCAGAACTATGCACTCTACCTTCCCACTGGGAAAGCACAGCGAAACTGAAATGGCCCAAATTTAATGCCGATTACCTTTGTAAAAACGAAAATGCTCAACCTAGTCCGGATTGGATTTCAATGAATTGTACCTTAAAAAGAAATAATTTTACAACCTTTGAAGATGCAGAAGAAGAGTTATCTAATATGACGTTATGTGTAGACCATAGTGTGTACAATACGTCGTCTCTGGAGTTTGCCTCCAGCTCACTAAAATTTTAAATTTATGCGAGTTTGAGAAATCATCCCCAAGAAGGCTTACTGTTTTTTTAATTTAGTAATTATAAGATTGAACGGATTTTTTTAAATTTGAGAAATAAAAGAAATTTTGATAATTTTAAACGCTTTTAATTATAATAACTAACTTCACGAACAAAATTTCACATAAAAAATGAAATTCTCTTATTGATTTTTTCAGTGCGACTTGTGAAATATTTTTACTAAGAGCCCATTTTTTAATTTCAATAAAATTCACATCTGATTTATCTTCACTAGATGCGGAAATTTTATCTTCTGAATTCTGTACAAAATCTATAACGGCATTATTTGAATGTACAGAACTCCCTTTAACTGGATCTGTTCGGACTTGACTCAAATTACGACTACCTAAGCTCGCTCTCGTAGTAAAACAATGTTTTAAATGTCTTTAATTCACTTCCTACCCAGAAAAACTCGTTATAAGTTCTTTAAAAATGGTATTTTTACAAGTAATTGCGGAATTAAAATACATCATTCGACTTCCATCTGTGTTACGTTAGCTATAAACTATGACTTTATTTCCCTTATACCAAAATAAGCTCTATTTAGAACACAGAAAATACTTTTATACAGTAGTTGAATAATTGATAAAATGTGGAACCTTATATGACTTGACGGCAAAATAAAAGCTGTTATTCAAAATACAATGCTAATATTCCTTTCATTAGAAATTACTTACACTCTTATTCAGAAGACAGCTGCCGTGGACACAGTTTTACAGAGTATGGTGGTTTTATAAGCAATAAGTTGAGAAAAGTTTGTTTATTAGTATTAGATAATTACGTTTATTCAGCTACTTATACTATTATACAGATAAATGCTGACCCGGGCAATATTTTTCAAATTAAAGTCACCTGTAATGCTTTAGGCTTAATAATATCTGCGTTTTATGCTGTACAGAAGTTATTACTAAGCTTTAAAAATAATAGTCGACCTTAATACAACTTTTATCAAGCATAAATGGCTATTAAGGCAGAAAGAGAAAATTATTCAGAATTTGGCTATTTCAATAGCCTTTCCTCACACGTTATGGAGCTTATATCTGTAAATATTTTCGAATTACTTTTACTCAAACACTATTCAGCATGTCTGTGTTACTTGGGTATAAGCTTAGCTGTTACTTGTACATTACATAAGTAGTTGTAAAAATACTTATAGGGCACCTAGGTAATTGAATTAATTAGTTTAGGCTAGCACTATGGCCTAGCACTATAGGCGAGCGAGCGAAGCAATTCTGCCACGGCAGCGGCCGTCGAGCTTTTTGTAATTTTTTTTTACTACAATAATTGAATAGAATAACAAGATGGAAAAACTTTACATTAAAATGCGGTCATAAAAATCTTGATAATAGTTTCTAATATTTTAGCCTTTATTTTATTGTATTCGATGGTTAGTTAAACGTTAACCATAAAACTAAAAAATTAGGTATATACCATAACGTAAATAAAACATCAACACGTGTTTCAAATAAATAACGTTCTGCATAATTAACATTATACACATTAATAAAAAAAAATATTCCATTTTAAATAAATAACTAACATTTTACTGCTCATATACAGCATAATTATTAAAACCTGCGTTTATCAAAACGAAGAATTTATTATTATATTATTTTCCTGTTCTCAATGCGTCTAGTTGCGGTTTTTCTATCAAAACAGTTCGCGCAAATATATTTACTAAGGAGGTAGAATTGTATTTATTGACACCAATTTTACTAAAGCTCATTGGACTGTTAACATCTTCTGGATAAAGGGGGCTTCTTTAAAATGTTAATTTTTAGAACGTTCTAAAGGCCACTTCTCACATTTTTTTTTTTTATGTATTAGGTCGGCAAACGAGCTGACGGATTACTTGATGGTAAGCAATCAGCGCCGCCCATGGACATCCGCAACGGAGGAGTTATGAGAGCGTTGCCGACCTTTTAGGGATTAGGGATTAGAAGATTTAGGGATTGAGCAGGGATTGGGGGAGGGGAAGGATTGGGCCTCCGGTAACCTCACTCACACGGCGAAACACAACCCGCTGTGGTCGTTTCACGGCGGTTTTCTGTGAGGCCGTGGTATCACTACAGTGGGCCGACCCATTCGTGCCGAAGCATGGCTCTCCCACAAATAACATCAAATGGAGAAGGTATGGGCATTAATCACCTAACTTGGTGATTTCAAACTTCTAATAAGAAACTACAAGGTCTGGTTTCCTTAAGATGTTTTCCTTCTATATAGTTCTATACAGTTTCTGACTGTAGGTACATATGACTTAGAAAAGTCACATTGGTACTTGCCAGGTGTCGAACCCGCGTTTTTACAATGAGAAGCGGGAGCGGTAACCTCTGTACCACCACGTACGTACAAAGTTATTCGAATTTCATTTAGTTATAATAAAGCTTTACGGCCTTATTACAAAACAAGGTTTTACTTTAGTCTAGGACTAAACCATTGAGCCAGTTTTCGTATTTCGAATTGAAGATAGATGACAATAAGATTCAAAATTCAAAACCAGACTCAATGGTTTAAACCTGGACTAAAGATAAATCTTGTTTTGTAATAAGAGGGTTAGAGTTTATTTGAATGCGCTAATCTTCGGAACTCCTAGTTCGATTCTTTTTGTGTTTGTAATTTGATTTAGCGGGGAAGGCTATAAAACATCACGCTACGATCTGTAGGAGCAGAGTAGCGGGTGAAACCGCGCGGGAGTAGTTAGTAGAAAATAATGCGTGCACCTAACACTCTAGTGCGGAAAAAATTGTACATCAATCCATGAAGTGACTAAGTGTGGGTAGGTCAATTTTAAAAAAACAGACAAAGTACAAGTACTATAGACGGGGAATAACATAAATATAATAATATCTACATATTAAAAGTATGAATAATTCTGTATTCTTGACAACTTTGCTACGTTCATCCTGATGATTAATACTTGAAGTAAACAATTTAAATAAAAATTACACATGTGGGTAGGTATGTTTGTCTGAGCACAACTCCCGAACGTCTACACCGAATTCGATAATACTTTGTTTATCGTTTTTTTAGAGACTGAATCGCCCAATGGACAAGGATTTACTTTTTTATTAGTAAGTTATGAAGGGTACATTTGGTTTTTGAGGGGGACAAATCATCTAAGAGAGGTAGTGTCAGACTCTGACTAAAATGCATCCCGTTCCGTGTCCTGTTGTTGGCCGAGGCCGTGGTAAATTAATGCGCTTGATCTGCCATCCCGGTTATGTAGGAGTGGGAGAGACTTAAGAACTGTCTTATATAGGGAATATTTGAATTAGTATACAGCTGTACCTATGCCATAAAAATCAGTTGAAAATTCCCAAAAGTGTCTTCATCTATAATAAAGGGTATCCAATGAATGTAGCAGCAGTTGGTGAGCGATTGATGTTAGCTAGCTACTGTAGCGCCACCCTAGTTATGCGGCCACTTTATTAAAAAAGAAGTTCTTTATTCAACTTCCCTCCACAAAGAGAATGCAGAACAACGCATTGACATTTACGCGTAGTGGGTAATTGCAAAAAAAGAATAAAAAAATCATTGTCATATAAGTACCAACTTATCAATTTCCTTGATATGATAAATTATAATAAATATTTATGAGGAATAGATATTGGATGTTAATGACCTCTGTAACCGTATTTGAGTACCAGCCAGTGGTGTGGATGCAAGCGCTATGCCTTTTTCTTGTGGCTGTGGCGCGGTGGCTTAATAGCTGGCTGCAACGCCACGTGTCGCGAATTTCATTCCCGCACGGAACAACTCTTTGTGTGTTCTACAAAATGTTGTTCCAGGTCTGGGTGTTTCTTGTATGTTTGTTAATGCACCCACGACATAGAAGAAAATCTTAGTGTAGGGAAACGTTTCATCATCATCATCATCAGGGAAACGTTTATTTTTTTTTAATTATGTAAGCACCGCGGCTGCTGCCCGGAACAGGAAAAGGAACGGGGTGGTATTTAGTCAGTAAGACACTGTCTTTCGTTCAATCTGTTTCACTCTTTTCTCTAGCAAGAAATGGATTTGCATATAAATGTATCCAAATAAGGTAAAATAACATAACCGAAAAAGGCGTATAATCCAAAATAATAACATATCCATAGCCTTGTCAGAAACCGAAATAATTTTATTCCTATACCTGTAACCAGATCTAAAATATCATATCTATAACTTCCCAAATACGTGTCATTGTCATATTATCATTTAATTTTCCCACTAGCTAATCTCGTGCGGTTTCACTCATTGCTCTTCCCCATTTGATCGTAGCGCAATTTTATATAGCCTATAGCACTCAGCAACATTATAGCTATCTATCAGTGAAAGAATTTTGGGAATCCGACCAGCAGTTCCAAAGATTACCCCCTACATACATACTCACAAATATCTCATTATAATATTATAAGAAAGAGGTATGCAGAGATCTATATAATAAATGTCATACCCTCTTTTCTGTCTCTATTAGGCATAATTAGCAATTACCCCATATCAAAACTTTTAAGGTGTAAATTCTTTGCGGAGTTCCCCGAAGGGTATAAACCTGCATATCTTCAAGGTCCGAATGAATACTCCATCGTAGGTCACACCACCTTTTACCTCCAATCAAGAAAGTGACCATAGCAAAAAAATAAGGAGTTATCTTTTTGCTATAATTACCGGACGCTTAAAAACAATAGGACCTCCTTCAATTAAAACATTTTTGAATAAAAACAACTTTTTTTAACAGGTAGACAGAAAGAAGGTGATATTTTAAAATGTATGGAATCATAACATACTAATGTTACATTATTTTTGGTTTTAAGATACAAATTAAGACTTTATATTGTGTCTAGGATTGTGTTTTATGGCTATAGCTTGATTGTTTATGACATGGAATTAATGGCTGAAAAGATTCAGCAAGCTTGCCAACGCTTAAAATCGATAACATGTTCTAAAATTAACATTTTGAATTCAAGTTGTAGACATTTATATTTACAGAGATGATAAATGGGTAGTCACAACAAAAAATTATATAAGGTCAAAAATAATAAACTAAGTATTTTCAAAATGCCTAATCCCAATCCTACCTCTACCCTAGGACTATACCTATCGCCAATCCCTAAATATCAAAAACATTAATCCCCAAAAGGCCGGCAACGCACTCGTTTCTTCTGTGATGTTTCAGCTGTCCATGGGCGGCGCCGATTGCTTACCATCAGGTAACGCGTATGCTCGTTGTAACTAACAATAGCATTCCTGAAAAAAATCGACAGTTACAATATAGCTGTATTACAATGACCCTTAATACCTACAAAAAAACGAATACGTTCCTACGTACTGGACATTCCAAGAATCTGCGTGAAGTCACTAGCAAGACCAGTTAAGCTCACAAGTTCATCATCATTGCAAAAAACTGTTATACGAGTTTCATACGTCTTCCTATTAAAATAGAGGTGATAATTCCGTGTTCAATTCGCATGATGCGATGACCGTGCAAGATTGTCGGAGTCTAAAATGTATGGACGATTTGAATTACGAACACAGTTGGCCGGACCACGGAGTGAAGCGGTCGTGTAGTGACAGTGTATAATGAAACTGTGATATTCTAAATTCGAACATTTAAAATAATTATTAATAATAAAATTAAAAAAATGAATTTAATACTCGTGGCCATATTGGCTGTCAGTGCCTGCGTTGTAAATGGACGTAAGTGGTTTTTTTTATACAAGTCGCTTTGTACTTTAAATCTTTTACTTATAAGGTTTATTTTGAGGAAAATCATTCTATTGTTAATGTTTAAACGTTACGTTATTGTATTTAATAACTTACCGGCTTTAAACTTTTAAAGCGTCTACCTTCGAATTTTTTTTTATTAAATAAGATATTTTAAACATTATTTTATTTCCAAAAGATAATTTGTCAATACTAAAATACGCCGTGAAAAATGTTAGTTCCGGCTATTATAAAAGAAAGTATATTAATATAAATATAAAATATAAAACTTGTTTAATTCTATCAACCGACACGACACCGGCAAAAAGATATTAAAATATCATAAACATCGGATTATTAAAATAAGAAAACTATTTTTATACATACTAAACGGAGGCTACTTAGAAAACATTAACTGTTTGTAGAAACACACTAAAAAGTTTTTATCACTATTATTATACCCTACTCGTTTTAATTTATTCTAACATGAAACCTATTAAGTACGATCATTTCAATAAATTTGTCAAGGTAATATTTTTATAAGAAAAAACCTTTCAATTTTCTATTGTTGAGGTATGATTATAATTTGAAAAAAAAAACATGTTTAAGTTAAATATCCAATGAGGGTGACTGAATAATGTTTCGAATAAACCCTGTTCTTTATAAAAAAGGACATAAAATAAAATATTCATTACAACCCAAATATAAAAATGACTTAAGTGCCAGCATGCAAATTCTGCGAAGTTCACTTTTAAAGTCTGTTATTAAAATAAAAAATCCTGCAACATCGTCTCGACAATCGATTACAAGACTACGAAAATCGATTTCTTCGCACAATTCGAATTTACGAAATGAGTGTACATTAGTACATAACGAATAAATTTTTAAATTTTGTACTTACATCGAGAATGACACGGTATATTATTGTGATAAGGAAATAAATAAAATTAGGAGCGAAATGTTTCCACGATTTATACCCTTAACCATGTGTCTTCAAGGCCCTGACTGCTTAGCAATCAGCTGTAGATAAAAAAACTACTCCTTAAGAATCAACCTATCCACAAGAGAAAACTTCATCAAAATTCGTTCAATAGTTTTTGAGGTCATGGTGGATGCGATATCCATTCGTTGTATGATATTTGAAAGATGTGGGTGGTACCACAAAGGGCTCAAAATAAAGGTTCATGTCTTATCAAATTAAAACATATTTTATTTTATTTTTTATGCGAAAAACTTAGTTATTATAAGTAATGCATGCAGAATTCAGAGGCATACTAAGAAAATATGTAAATATACATATGTAGTATTTTAAACATATCGCGGGTAAATTTACAAACAAAAAATGACAGGCACATTACACCCAGACTTGGAACAAACAATTTATAGAACAAACCTGCAATCAAGAAAAAAAAAGTGTAACATTTGCAACCAACGTATCAATATGAATCATTGCATGAATAAAATAAAGCAATATACGAATTGTAATTGACTTCAATACGCTCAATTCTGTCTACCCTCAATAAACAACTAACAGTACGCGAGATGTATTTTTCTTTAGTAGATTAGCTTTTCGCCCCGGCTTCCCACGGGTGCGATGCCGATATTAAATTTCTCTACTACTTAATGAATGCCATTCTACACCATAGAGGTTTCTCTTCAATCAACAAGCAACAAAATCCGTGGCATAGTTTCAATGGTTTAAACATACATAGGAATATATGGACAGAAAAAGCTACGTAATTTTATGCTACGTAGTACCTTATACTAGATTTATTATGCATATTATTCGAAAAATAATAAAAACTGTTATACTTGAAGATCAGGTAATGTAATACCATTGTCTAAAAGGCAAAAAGTAAGTGGTTTTATTTTGTATTATTTATCAACTACCTGCATAAAACTTCAGTACCTGGATGAACGAGCTTTTTCCGATGTTTTTTTCTGATAAAGATACGTAGCTAGCTAGAATATTTTTCCGTTTTCTCCTTTACGCACTTAATCTCATCAAAATCGTTAGAGACGTTTCCGAGAACGTGTGAATATGTATCGATACTATAAAGAGCTAAAATTTGTAATTTTGTAAGTTTGTATGTACGAGCTAATCTTTGGAACCGCTGGTCGGATTGCCAAAATTCTTTTACTGATAGATAGCGACAATATTCCCGAGTGCTTTAGACTATTTAATTAAATATCACGCTACGATTAAATGGAGCCGAGCAGTGGGTAAAACCGCGCGAGATTAACTAGCTAAATATAATTGTAATTACCCTCGCATCTTAATAAACAACAAAGCAATGGCGTAGAGGATACTTAATCAATTAATTATAACGCATGATTATGTATAAAAGATTTTTTCTTTTGGTGGAGGATAGATCATCACATTTCTTCTCCCGAGTGACAGACTCCTTACTAACTAAAGACCACCGAATTCCTTCTCCTGCTACAGACTGGGGTCGCAGTAGATACATTATTGCGCTTAACTCGCAACCCCGGCTAAAAATTAACTTTGTTGTGTGATAGCTTCATTAAAGACTAGCTACTCTCGCGCGGTTTCACCCGCTGTTCGGCTCCATTTGATCGTCGCGTGATGTTTTATAGCCTATAGCACTCAGGAATATTGTAGCTATCATTAAAAGAATTTTGGAAATCCGACCAGCGGTTCCAATGATTACCCCCTACATTCCAACTTACAAATTTTACTTTCTTATAATATTATAGTACTTAATAGTATAGATTAGAATGTTAGTATGTTTGTAACCTTTTTTGTGAAGGAACATCATCAAATGACTTCTCCCGAGGATGGGAGAAGTCATTTGATGATGGGAGAGGAAGTGTCAGACTCTAACTGACTAAAAACGCCACCGTTCCTTTTCCTCTAGGCCGAGGCCGCGGTGCATTGTGCTTACCCCGCAACCCCGGCTGAGTAAGCATGAATTTAAAATCCAAAGGTTTCGATACTATTGAAACTACTTTGAAAACTAGTTTTAAGAAGTAACTGATGACTACCTACCTACTAATATAAAAAAAACGAAAGTCAGAAATGAATTGTCTGTTACTCTTTCACGTAAAAACTACTGAATAGATTATCATGAAAATTCACACGGACATTATTTTATAGTCTAGAGAATAATACATAGGCTACAATTTACCAATGTGACGACGTCAGGCAGCTAATAGTATCTTATGTCTATGAATGTACATGTCTATGACTGTAGATCTAACAGGAAAAAGCGTTAGTTATCTGTTAAGCAATTCGAAATTAGTGTTTGTTTATATTAATAAGATAATTAAAACATGTTATGTAAATATTATGAGGGTATGACCTCGATGACTGATAATAATAATATGCAATAAATAGACGAGTAAGTATTGGAATATTAGAATAATAGTGTTAATCTTTAAATGAGGTGTTGATCCACACTAGGATTTCCTCGAGTGTCGAGAGAGGTCTACGAACACACAACTTCACATACATACACATCACACTCAGACATGGAAAAACAATTTGTTGATCGCACGAAGATTTGTTCTGTCCGAGAATCTGAACCACGACACCCACCGCGTCAACCGGGTAGCCAGATCGTAGTACTATACTTAATTTTTTTTCTCTTATGTTCTCTCAATTAGCAATGCATGTATTTACATATTTACCTTTGTGAAGTGGAATCTTGCTAGTAAATTTTAAAGCAGATATCTTTAACTTATTGAGCTGTTTTTATAGACATTTATTTTGAATGATTATTGATGCTTAGCTGTATAGCCTTTACTAGAATAAAGG